ACGAGGGAAACACCATGCTAGCTCTGCCGTAACGAGGAGCAACATGGAGAAAATATTACAATAGCGATGGTTGGTAGATGCACTGAGAACGGGACAAAAATTGGTTGAGCAGTGGCATGAAAACCTTGTCCTAATCCAGCAACCACATATAACAGTAAAGCTCACACCGGAAGCAGATCCCACCGGTTAAGCTAAGCGTGCAGCTTGCAAGTCGGTTGTCAGTGACGCGGTTATATGCCAGTCCAAACGATAGTGATAAACGGGCTTCAACGCCTAAAACCAAGCTTTGCCAACATCCTTTTGTAACTTTCCACTATCCTTTTCGATGTTATTATCGCCCCGTGAACCGACCAAGGTTGAAAAAGGAAGCATTCTCTAGTGCATCTGCAAGAAAATCCCTCCAAGGAGTAAACGGAACTCATTTCACAGTGATATATGCTAGTCTCACAAGTTCCACTGCTCCATCGTACACAAATCACCCATGGCCATGTAAGACCAACACTTCCGTTCCTGTGAAAAGACTCGTGGTCACCGAGAGGGAGTCCAAACTTAGTTCCCAGCGAACGGCTCGGAGGACCCCCACACCCACGCCATCCGGCCCAGACTTGCAGGGAGAGAATGTTCTGGATGGGACGTCTGCTGGGTCCCAAAACTCTAGAGCAGTTACATATCCACGAGTGTCTGGTAGCACTGCGCTGTGCTAGACAAGTCGTGTTACTTCCCCCGAGTCTTGTACAGAGTTTATTTTCCGTCTTGGCGGGTGAAAACTGTGCTTCGTGCATTAGATCTACTGTCTTGTGGCAATATTTGACTCTGGGTTGGTTATTGGTTTGTTTTCTTGTTGGGTGAAGAGGATGTGTCCTGGTGCACTCATTGAAGGTAAAACTGGTTCAGTTCTAGGTAGGCAGTGTTGTAGGAGTCTCCATTGACTTCAGCACATGAGAGGCGTCTCGGATCTATTTCGTTGACGTTTGTAGTGCTAGCTGTGAGAAACAGAGGTAACTTCCCGTGGGTCTCACTGTCACCAGCGAGTCGTCCGATGCCCTCCGACGCGCTGGCCGACTTATCCCGGGAACTAATTCCCACGGTGACTCCGAACCACACCAAAACTGAGCTCATGGTCAGCACGAGCGCCAACCACTTCAGCAGGGATCTGTTCCGCCTGATACATGCGGCCATTGCTCCGGCAAATGCGCTGTTTACAGTTTCACCGACCACAAAGAAGTCGGAGAAGGCGTGGCTTATTGCGCATGCGTGCGCAGAATCGCGTGGTAAATGCGGCACAGATGGACTATTTCTCGAGACAGCGCTCAATCCCAGACTGGCATCAGCCTCTGATGGAGGTCCAGACCACCCTAGTCCTTGGAGTCGGTGGAATAGGCTGTTCCGTGGCCAGAAACCTATGGTAATTTTTTATTCGCTGGCTCCACGAGATCGCTGACGGCAGCATTAATTTGAGCGCATGCGCGCGTTTGGAGCAGCGCTTTTTTACTGTACGTTTCTTTTGTATGCAGTCGTCTTGGTGTGCAGGAGGTGATAATTGTAGACTGCGATACAGTGTCAGCCTCAAACGTCAATCGTCAAGTACTCTATTCCACGAGTGATGTTGGCAGGAGCAAGGTTTCAGCAGCTCTTGATGGACTCAAGCCACACTGCATTAGAACCAGTCAGTCGTTGCTGTAGTAACCAGTCAGTCGTGGCTTGTGTGCCAGGTGGTATTTTTATATCCCAGAGTTGACAGGTGTTGAGTTTGATGCAGTAAAAGAATGGGGCAAGATTGTTGAACTGACTAAAAGATCAAATGTAAACACATGCACAGAGGCATAATAACACCATTATCCAAATGACCTTTATAAGCACTACTACAGTATGAAGCTGCCTATTGCAATTTTAACTTCCACTTCCGTATTTATACTCGGTCTATCACCTTCTTTTGGCACCTCCCATGACACTACAACTCAGATAATCTTGTATTTGTTCTCACCAGGTTGTGTTCAATGGTATTGACGTGGGAGAATACTTTGACTATGCAGTCACATCTCTATGTGTCACTCTTGGAGTGTCCTATGTGGCTGCCAGCTCCTACGGTCACACTGCAGTGGTGGACTGCTACCCTCCTCCTCTCCTTCCTAGGGATGGTCCCTGCTGGGCCTGTAATAACTCTCCCAACGACAGGGACATCTTCTCTCAGCTGACACCAATCCACATCACCCAAATCTCTTCTCTGTCCTTCCTCCCTAAGGTAAATACCCCTAATCGAGCAACGATATACACTAAATTCTAGTGTACAATTTTCAATCAAGGTCAGCGCAATTGATTGTGAGCTCATTTTCATTCAACTTATACATAATTATATACATGAGAGTATATTATACACTCAATTTTTCGAGCTATTAGTTCATACTGGAAAGTTACTCCAATTAATTAGTTCACTCTGGCAAGTTCGGTCTTATTTTTTTAAATTTTGTGCACACTGCACATGTGAGCTCCTTTTCAGGATCATAGGGAGGGCATAGTATTCCGTGGCACGTTGCCTCAATGTGGTAGAATAGAGCTCCATTGTTGTCCGCAACCTCACCAGGTACTCTCTCAGGATTCTTGTCAACACGAGCTGAAGCTCTTCTGTGATGGGTATTACAGTATTCCAGGGTCCACGAAGAAGGACATGTCATACGAGCTGGAATTGTTAGAACCGCGTTTCTTTGGCTACTGAGGCAAACAGCACATGGAACATTGTGCTGGTACACCCCTGGAATAGGTAAAGTTGTATGGTTAGTTTCATACTCAGCACCATAATTATATTGGGGAATATCCCTGTACACTGGGCCGGTATGTGGAGTATTCCGGTGTATCTGGGAGACAGAGATAGTCACTAGTTCCTCCTTGATGTGTGTGCTCAGCCCCTGCAGCTCTTCCAGAGTAGACTAGTTCGGTTCCAGTTGTGTTGGGGCAGGTGGTTCGACCCCACCTGATGTATGTGACTCCTCCACTGCTGGGTCCCGGAGGTCCCTGAGGTCCAGTATCTCCTTTCTCTCCTGTGGCACCAGGAGATCCCTTAGGTCCAGGGCATCCGTCTCGACCATCTCGTCCATCCCTCCCTCTCAGTAGCTCAATGAATGGAGGAAATCCTTCATTGCTGTCACTGCTGTCACTGCTCTCTGTTTGCCGCTTGGTCACTTCCTTTCCAGATGGACCTGCTAAACATTCATTAAATAGCAACACTGTAGAAGTGTAAGTATGGGTATCCTTACCATGAGCCTCATTAATGGCAATGAAATACGCCAATGTCAAAATACAGAGTGATAACATCCTTGCAGAGGTTGGTTTAGCTGTCATCTCACTCTTCCTTTTTCTCTCTTTCGCTTTTATACCATGCTCATGGATTGGACACATTTATGATATTGTATTGTAAGGAATTTGATTGCCAAGTTTTTTTGGACGTCTATCAGTGAGTAAGTACTTCACTACTTTGACATGTTGTGGTATTTACACTCTACTTCCTGCTTTTTACTCTTGCTACAACAGATGCTGGAGCTGATATGTACATACCATTCTTGTGTATAATGTGCAGAAACTAACAACAACTATAGCCTTATATCCACAAGATCCAGCCATTGTACTCGCGAGTCCAGTTCGGAGGACAAGTGTATCTTCATGGAATCATGAGCTGAGCCACTTGGGTAGACACATAGCAAACAGCAAACAGCAAACAGAAGATCATCATTATCCAGCAGAAAAGCTGTTCTTGGTGCTTCCCCACACAATTTGTCGTTTTCACTGCCACATCAGGTATGCACTTGCTGCCTCCAACAGTGACTTCTCTTTGGTTGTGCCTATATTGTATTTCCCACTCTGGAATGTAATTTGTGACGCTCAACGTAATTTTTGTGATGATTTAGAGTTGCTATTATTAAGGTAATCAAACTGTGGTGTGACTGGTCCATGGGATTACTCACCATACAACTACCCACACACCTGTTGTGACTATTGTGTGGAAGAAGCAGGAGTAGGAAAGCCTGGGAATACGTCACAGAATAGTAAAAATTCCAGGTGTACTGCAATGTTGACTGCATGGGGTGGCATATTCCCTTACATGTGCGCGTCACGCTGTTGCATTAAGTTGTATTCGCTGATTTTGATAATTTTTATGACTTGCAATGCAGCTATTGTATGTAAAACTAAATTTCAATATCATTCACTACATGGCCTCACTAGTATCTAATTGTACTAGCGTGGTGCATACTGGCACATGTCATCTCTTTCTCTTGTTCATAAGGAGGGCAGGGGAGACTGCCACATCGAGGCTCCACGTGGTAAAACACAGCTCCATCATGATTAGCATGTCCACCAACTAAAGCCTCAGGAGATGCATCCGCACACTCAAATGTTGATCAATGGTGGTTGTAGCGTTCAACCGTGAGGTAGCCATAGTACTCGCGAGTCCAGTTCAGAGGACATGTGTATCTTCCTGGGATCATGAGGTGAGCCACTCGGGTAGACACATAGCAAACGCAACACGGAAGATCATCATGATTCAAGTGATGATGTTCACCTGGTGTGTTTCCCCAAATCCTATATTCAACACCATACATGTAAGAATGGTCCGCAGTGCCAGGACCGAAAGTAAGGTTCTGTGGTTCTTCGGTGACACATTGGTAGTTGCTGCCTCCACCAGCATGTGAGAAGTAACTTCCAGCAGCCCAACCTTTGTAGACTAGTTCGGTTCCAGGTGTGTTGGGGCAGGTGGTTCGACCCCACCTGATGTATGTGACTCCACTGCTGGGTCCCGGAGGTCCCTGAGGTCCAGTATCTCCTTTCTCTCCTGTGGCACCAGGAGATCCCTTAGGTCCAGGCTCTCCGTCTCGACCGTCTCGTCCGTCTCTCCCTCTCAGTAGCTCAATGAATGGAGGAAATCCTTCATTGCTGTCACCGCTCTCTGCTTGCCGCTTGGTCACTTCCTTCCCAGATGGACCTGCTAAACATTCATTAAATAGCAACACTGTCGAAGTGTAAGTTGTATATCCTTACCATGAGCCTCATTAATGGCAATGAAATACGCCAATGTCAAAATACAGAGGGATAACATCCTTGCAAAGGTTGGTTTAGCTGTCATCTGACTCTCTCTTTCTCCCTCTTTCTATTGGAAGCTCTTGGGCTGTTGCTTTTATACCATGCTCATGGACTGGACACATTTATAATACAAGTTTTGTAAGGAATTTGATTGCCAAGTTTTTTTGGACGTCTATCAGTGAGTAAGTACATACTACACTACTTTGACATGTTGTGGTATTTACACTCTACTTCCTGCTTTTTACTCTTGCTACAACTACAGCCAGCAGATCCTGAGGCAGATATGTACATACCATAATTCTTGTGTAAAATAGTGCACAAGCTAACAACAACTATAGCCTTTATATCCACAAGATCCAGCCATTGTACTCGCGAGTCCAGTTCGGAGGACAAGTGTATCTTCCTGGGATCATGAGGTGAGCCACTCGGGTAGACACATAGCAAACAGCACACGGAACATCATCATTATCCAGCAGAAAAGCTGTTCTTGGTGCTTCCCCACGCATGATTTGTCGGTTTCACTGCCACATCGGTATATACTTGCTGCCTCCATCAGTGACTGCTCTTTGGCTTTTGCATTGCCCAGTCTGGAATGTAATTTGTGACACTCAAGAATGCACAACGTGATGAGAGTTGCTATTTTTAAGGTAATCCAACTGTGGTGTGACTGGTCCATGGGATTACTCACCATACAACTACCCACACACCTGTTGTACTATTGTGTGGAAGAAGAGGAGTAAGGAAAGCCTTGGAATACGACTAGTTACTCATCAGAATAGTAATTCCAAGTGTACTGCATGTTGAATTGAGGATGCATATTCCCTTAACAATAACTCCAACCAAGCATTTGACTAGTATGTAACGATTGCACCTTGGGTTACACTTGGGAATTTCATGCAGCTATACTGGTGGATCGGATAAGATACCTAACAGGTGGTCAAAAAGTCACAAAAAAATCAGCTGCACACTCTGAGCCTTTTGGATACCTGTCCCCTGGGCTTAGTTGTGTTAGCCTACACAATGCTATGAAAACACTTTCTGTTTCCAGTGTTGTAACCTTACAACCCCTCCAAATGTGGGGTGAAACCTTTCTTGCAGCTCTGAACTAAAATTAATGGCAGAAAGAGCTATCAAGAGTTGGCATGTCCAAACCTATGCATCTCTATTTCAAGGAGAATGTGCGTGGATTATGCAGAAATACTGAATAGATCCCTCACAATTAACGTAGTATTGTTTTGATTACCCTACTTATGTATACATACCATAATCAATGAAGATGCTACAATGTAATAGATATTATGTGCAACGACTGTTAAGCAATGCTCACACTTATCTACGTACCAATGTAATCAGCGATTGTACACTGCCTGCGTAAGTCATGTCTTTATCTTGTTGGCTATAAGAAAAACAGACCTCCTGCTCCACATAGTAAAACAGAGCTCCATAGTGATTTCCACGTCCACCAACCACAGTCTCGGTGATAAATCTACACATTCGAATGTAAACTATGACGTTCAGCCATTAAGTAGTTAATTGCAACCTATAGTACATTCTACCGTAGTGCCATAGCTTACCACACATATTTTGCTGTCACACAAGAGTCTCATTTGGTGCTTACTGCACAAGTAAGTTCCTTTTCAGGATCATACGGAGGACACAGTATTCCATTACACACTGCCTCGACGTGGTACAATAGAGCTCCATCAGTGTTGGCAGCCTCACCAGGTACTCTCTCAGGATTCTTGTCAACACAAGCTGAAGCTCTTCTGTGATGTTCATGAAGGTCTGTCATGAGGTACCCACTGTATTCCAGGGTCCACGAAGAAGGACATGTGGTACGAGCTGGAATTGTTAAAACCACTTTTTTTCAGGAATTGAGGCAAACAGCACATGGAACATTGTGGTCATGCACCCCTGGAATAGGTAAAGGTGCATCGTCAAGTTGATACTCAGCACCATATATTGGAGAATGTTCCTGTACACCAGGCTGGTATGTGGAGTATTCCGGTGTATCTGGGAGACAGAGATTGTCACTGGTTCCTCCTTGAACATAATAGAAAGTCCCAGCAGCTCTTCCAGAGTAGACTAGTTCGGTTCCAGGTGTGTTGGGGCATGTGGTTCGACCCCACCTGATGTATCTGACTCCTCCACTGCTGGGTCCCGGAGGTCCCTGAGGTCCAGTATCTCCTTTCTCTCCTGTGGCACCAGGAGATCCCTTAGGTCCAGGCTCTCCGTCTCGACCGTCTCGTCCATCTCTACCTCTCAGTAGCTCAATGAATGGAGGAAATCCTTCACTGCTGTCACCGCTCTCTGCTTGCCGCTTGGTCACTTCCTTTCCAGAAGGAACAGCTAAAGGCGTCACAGAATTTGTCATTGCTTCGGGATTAGTGATTTAAATTATTTACCTTGTGCCTTGACGAGAGCAAAGGTGAACAGAATGATCCGCAACCCCCAGGGACGCATTTTTGCTGTGATGCTGTGATAATGCTAGTCGCCTTTTTTCTCCGTTGCACTGACTGTTCCTCTGCTCTAGCTTTAATAGTCTCTTGAAAGCAGTGGGTAACAATGTGCATCCAGTTTCAATTTTCCTTGAGTGCCGTGATGCACATAAGTGTATTGCCCACTCTGGAATGTACTCAAGAATGCAGAACGTGATTTAGAATTACTGCTTTTTGATCAAACTGCGGTGTGACTTGCAATGCAGTATTATAATCAAAGAAGAAGCACAAAGCACAACTAAATATCAGTTTCAATATAATTTACTATCATGGCACATATTAGTATCTACCAAAAGTTATGTGGATTTTCTTTAGCAAAAATTTTAATCAGCGGGTGCACACTGCACATGTCATCTCTTTCTCTTCTTTATAAGGAGGGCAGCGTAGACTTCCACATCGAGGCTCCACGTGATAAAACTTAGCTCCATCATCATCAGCATGTCCACCGACTACAGCCTCAGGTGATGCATCCACACACTCAAATGTTGATCTGTGGTGGCTGTAGCGTTCAGCCATGAGGTAGCCATAGTACTCGCGAGTCCAGCTCGGAGGACAAGTGTATCTTCCTGGGATCATGAGGTGAGCCACTCGGGTAGACACATAGCAAACAGCACACGGAACATCATGACGATTCAGGTGACGCTGTTCAGGTGGGATATTTCCATATGTTCTATATTCAACACCATACATGTAAGAACTGTTCACAGTGCCAGGACCGAAAGCAAGGTTCTGTGGTTCTTCGGTGACACATTGGTAGTTGCTGCCTCCACCAGTATGTGAGAAGTAACTCCCAGCAGCCCAACCTTTGTAGACTAGTTCAGTTCCAGTTGTGTTGGGGCAGGTGGTTCGACCCCACCTGATGTATGTGACTCCTCCACTGCTGGGTCCCGAAGGTCCCTGAGGTCCAGTATCTCCTTTCTCTCCTGTGGCACCAGGAGATCCCTTAGGTCCAGGCTCTCCATCTCGACCATCTCGTCCGTCTCTCCCTCTCAGTAGCTCAATGAATGGAGGAAATCCTTCATTGCTGTCACTGCTGTCACTGCTCTCTGCTTGCCGCTTGGTCACTTCCTTTCCAGATGGAACAGCTACAGAATTTGTCATTGCTTCAGGATGAGTTATCTATTTATTACTTACCTTGTGCCTTTACGAGAGAAAAGGTGAACAGAGTGATCAGCAACAAGAAGGGATGCATTTTTCTGAGATGAAATGCCAGTCACTTTTTTCTCCGTTGCGCTGACTGTTTGTTCTTGCTTTTATAGTCTCTTAGAAGCAATGTGTAATAATCTGCATCTGTTAGCCACACCTAGTATTAATTTCCTAACAATATCACCCTCAAAAATATCCTGACTCACTGTTCTGCATAGCTGGATGCCTTATATGCTCCAGAGGTCATTGTGTACCCTTATTACACAAAGATATGATGTTGTACGTAGATACCAAGGTCTTTCTCACCCAATAGCCTTGAATTAAAGTTGAGGCCAGGTACGCATGACTGAGTGTAATGGCCCTGCTGGGAGAATGCAGGTAGGTGGTGGTGGCCTGATGTATCACTTATGTGAACGCTTTGTTGCCACAATAGCCTACTATGGTTCCACTAAAAATGGGCTCTACTCTTGTGCACTAAGCTGCAAGCTCTGCTAAATCTATTCACACTCTGTAATAGTAATTTGACAATGGGTCGCTACTTTAGGAAATCCCATTCACTGTTGCACTCATTGTTCTTCTTGCACAATTTACTGAGTTGGGTGAGTGTGTGTGGAGAGGGTGTCAAAGAATCAAACATCCACCAATCATTTCACTATTATTATACTGTGCTCTATAGTGCTGATACATATATCCACCTCACTGCAGGACACTCACATGCCAGCCACACAAGACGTGGGGTCTTCGGTACTGGTAGCCACCCTCGCTGCAACCCTTGCCACGGGGTCATGGGTCAATAGTCTCCACGGCTACCAGCTGCCCCATTGGACCACCTGCGACTTTACCACTCTCTCGATGACATCGTTTCACGTGGAGCGCTCTCTCTCCTGCCTCATCTGTAACCAGGCCCCAAGGTTACAATGCACGCTATATGCTGACTATATTTCTGTTTGAGAAAATTAATGGTGGTATAAAATATCTTCATGGATTGTTTCAACATTACAAGTGGGATCTGTGGGCAAACCTATGGTCAAAGTTGAACTTTTAAAAATCTGTGGTACTGTGTACCTCTCCTTTGTGTGCAACATTTTTCATGTGTAAAAAGTAAGTGGGCTAGACTACTTTGTAAGTCGCTGAAATGAAGCTACTGAAGCAGGGTTATCCCTTTCTCTATAGAGGTAGATGAAGGATTTTGTGTACATTTCAGGTACTCCCCTACTGTGCTGGATGTGTACTTTGGACTAGAGAAAGTGCCGCTGTCCAGAGTTCCTGGCAGGACTCTAACAATATCACCTGCTGACTCACAGGTTCTCATTCCAGTTCTAGTGTAGACTCTACTATTCCTGATTGTGCTCTAAGTACATAGTGCTCATGTATGCATTTAACATTGTAGTATTTGGAATGGGAGGCCACACAGAGCAATGGCTAAGGATAATGCATGATGTGGCAGTAACCTTCAACTCCCATCCATTGACATGAAGATAACACACAAACATAGTGTGAAAAGAATCATGTTACAATTATGCATGGAAAAAAGTAGCCGCGTACACGGTTGCATTAGAGTAGAGTGAGATTATGTAAGTACTTTGGTAACAATGATCCTTTATTACTCTAGGCTGCTGTAGAGAGCGAGGTGGTATTGAAATGATTGGAGAAGTCGTACCCACATGGTGGTGACTCAGAAGCTGCTGCTGCTGTCTTTCTACCAGTGGACCCAGCTACTGACCCTCACACTGAGTATGTTAATGTCATGGAGCATGTAGACACCCTAGTGCAAAATAGACCAACTAAAATCACCCCAGCATCAAAAGTGCTTAAGCATAACAGCCAGACAGAGAGACCCACAAGCCAAGTATCCTAACTGTGCTGAAATTTTACTACTGTGTTTGTATAAGAAGTCATGTGGTTTAACAGGTGGGTTTGGTTACTCATTTCTGTTAACTACCAAACCTTGAAAATCTTCATCTATTCACCAGTGAGAAGGCAGTTGCTGAAATAGATTTACCAGAGGTCCTGCTTCAACCACTGCTCAAGACTGTAGATGGTTCCATTTCTGCTATCGTCAGGTAGGGGATACTGTTACACTCTCTCTGTTATTGTACTTCCTCCTCAAATTGTTACCTCAGTGGTCAGCGGTCAGCTATCCTCCCTACTCATCAAGGATGCTACAGGATGAAGGGGTGTGGATGTTACCTGGACAAGGACGGCAGCAGAGTCTCTTTCCCAGCTTTCCCAGTCCAACAAATGGAGGCATGCATCACACATAATTCTTGCTTCAGTTGCATACAATGTCAAGGAACTATTGCATGCCTGCACATGTATGTTTCTTAGCGTGCTCCTAGAAACGCTCTATGTGCACGTTCTTGCTGGCACAGAAAGCCCTGCCTTTTCTGGAGGGAATCACAGCGCATTTCAGGGACAGACCATCTTTATGCTCCGATAATTATTACTGTATGACACCTACGCATGCCACTTAGAAGCGTTGACTGTAGAGTTTTGAAGTTTGCAGTGGATATTTACCTTTATAGGCGAGCAAAGAGAGCATTGCTAGTTGTCTGAATGCGTTTTTTTCTATATGTATGGCGGCTGCACATACCATAATGTTATATACATCACATGAGTGTCGTGTGAGAAAAATCAAACTGCCTCTTCGCTCACCAAAAAAACGTGTTGCTATATCTGTATAGAACCCTCCTACAACTGCACCACACTGTCACACACATGTTTCTAAAGTGCAGAGGGCAAGTGGGAGGTGAGGGGCTGCTGTTTCAAACACACCTCTCACAACGAACAGCACATGTGTGATGTTATAGCCTCGGTTCTGGAGAGAGGGAGGGAGGGAACAGATCTCTCTGCCTTTGGCACTACTCTATTCCTGGAGAGCCTGTGGATGTGGTTAGTTCAATATGTTGGTAAAAAGGATGTACATGGGCCAGTAGTAGTGGTTGTAGTACTGTACAAACATTTTCAGTATACAAGAGTAGTGAAATATTGGTAGTAGATGGTTCTGTGTTTTTGGAATACTTGTGGTCACTTGAGTGTTTACATATTTTTGTTAATTGGGGCACCTTTTTACGAGTAACCTAACGCCTATCCTCTTAAATCCCTACTTACGTCACTTACGTAGTTTCTCCCTAGGCCTGGGTCACTTCTATCTAGTTCTATAATATCATCATTGTTTTAATAGAGACTCTCTAAAGGGTTATGTACCATGCCATGCCACTTACTTTGTAGTGCTCATAACAAATGACACTTCAACATGCCATCAAAAAATTTAACCTTTAAAAAACACTGATCATTACACAGGTTCCAAAATACTGTGGAGTGTTTGAAGACTCTCGGAGAGCGTCGACTTCCTCTGACCTTCTCCCCGGTCTCTCCCCCTCCTCCTCCCCTCCCCTCCCCTCTCCTCCCATCCTCGCTCTCTTTCCCCCTGACCGTGTCCTCACACACTGCCAATGGCCAGCCCTCAAATACTACCAACCTGGTCAGCCTGTTGCACTGGAGGACACATAAGAAGGTCAGAAATGCACGCAAAGCAAGCAGTCATTTTTCACATGTGTTCAAGAATCACGTACGTACGTCAGTGCTGCAGTCAGTCGTTACGATAATCTGCATTCAGACGGCTAGGCAGGCTCGCTTTGCTTCTGCTGCTGTCCTATGCAGCCTCGTAGCATGTAATGCCAGAATAAACCGTCGACACACAACACAGACAAACCAAACTACTGTAAACCTCGATGCGCATTGGTTGCAGAGGGTTAAAAATGCATCTTTTACATTGGGGAAAAGGACCTCCTTGTAGAGAGTGGCTATAAACAAACATGTGGTCCTGATGTGTTTCCTTCTTCCAACGAAATTTCCATCGTTGTCTCGAGTGCTACTGTGCACAGAAGGAGCCCGTCACCTGTGCCACACCAACCTCTCCAAGAAACTCAGCCCACCTTCACCCCAGAGTGGTCTGTCAACTGACTCCTCGGGGAATGTGTCGTACAGTCATGGTATGAAGACCTCCTCCCTCTGAGTCAGGAGCGACTGGTGCACGGCGTATGTAGCATTCACATTAGTTTTACTGTCATGTGACTGACTTTATAGCTAATACCGGGATGAGTTTTGTCACTGGTGCAAGGTCGAAACTTTTTTAGTATGATTTTAATCTTTAATCGATCTGCGATGGTCCTCCTGATTGTGTGTTGAGCTTTTTCCTAGGTGAAAGGTAGTAACGTAGGTTGTCATCAAGCAATTATGTCAGAACTAAATTTTGGCGCGCAAAACTACTCGACTGCAGGACGTGCAGCAGAGTGATGTTCAAGAGTTTGCTACAGTACCAGTGGCAGATCCAGCTCCCTCATTCTGTCGTTTTGCCGCGCACGCTGATGGCCAGCCTCGTTGACGCGCATCACGATCACGGTCAAAACGTTCTGGACAGCGGACCAACCTCAAACCCTTCTCAAAATCCTAGATCTGTCACTGAGTACAAAGACATAAGGCAATTACACACATCTCTTTTGTCAAGGCTCCACCAATTGGCAGAGTAGCAATTCATAGTAAATTAGAGCTGCCCTAGGTATCAATCGTTTTATCTGAAATGACACAATAAAGCTACTTCAGAGCTCTGTTTAGACATATCAACTTGTATTAGCTATACACAGTCAAGAAATTAGCACTCTTCATAACCCCACAGCCATGGCTCTGTGCTGGCCGCATTGTACTGGAGAACTTGGCTGGGAAGTGGGCGTGGTTCCTCTACCCTGGAACCAATGGGATTAAACTGGGGCTACTTCTTTGACCACAAATCCCCTTTGAGCCCACTGCAACCAGCACCCCAACAACTTTGTCATCCTACCTCCTGTGAGTGGTGTGTGGGGTTATTAGTGTGGAAGAATGAAAGGTTATCAAACTTGGGGTCTCATGTGACAGTCACATGACTTAAGATTCAGTGTAAGGAGCCTGCAGTACCACAGAAGTTTCCAGCAATGTTGTAATTAAGTAATGTCAGACGGCGTACATCACATTGTGTGACATCGCAAGCTTGGGCTCACAACGATGTATTCTAGAGCTACTATACACTGCCCATGTGACTGTGATTATTCATACATCTCGACCATGGAACATTACGCACAAGTAGAGGATATGTAACGACTAAAGTAGAACACAATGTCAGAAATTATAAACTCTTATACTATGTAGGGACACGAGAACCATCCTTTGCCCGGTGGACTTTGACCTGGCATTCACAGCCGACAGAATCGTATCTCCCGACACCGGGACCAACGACCAGTCTCTGTTCCAGTCGATTGGACTGGACTCGGACTGACTGAGATGGCAGAGGGCACTGGGAGGAGAGGCTGTCAACACTGGAGTGCTCACCAGTGCAAAGGTAAAGAGAGTAGTTTATTGTGGCTCATTCCTTACACTGTCTTTGCAATGCACCGTTTTTGGCCGTCCTGCGTTTCTCCAACACACAAACTGAGATAGCTGCTATATGTAAGGTAGCTCATTGACACTCAAGATTTCTTCCTTACAGTATTATAGTAATAGTGATTGGTGTGGTTATAGCTAGTTGTTGTGCTCATCATTGGTGTGGGTCTCGCTGTTTTTTCACAGTTCTCTATGCACAGAGATTTACTAGACAAGGCATGGTTTATGTCTATGCTATGCTTCTTCACATTTTCTTATGGTAAGAGGGATGATTTGTATAATGTATACGAATAATATTACCATCTCCTGCTGGTGGTATGGTCGTTTGTCTACTGACACACAGGCAGACCTGTCGCCAAGCCACTCAGCGTTGGAGTGGGGTCTAAGGGACACACTGGTGTGTGGCTACCGTGAAGCTGTGTCCACTCCATCCCGTCAAGCTCCTCCTCCTCTGTCTCCTCCGGAAGACCATGGACAGTCTCATCAGACTTGCTCTCATTGATGTATCCTCGAGGCCCATAGAGCAATATTATGTGCACACATCACAAACTACTAGTGTTTGCGATGCGTTATTGACATGAGATAAATTTTTAGTTTGCTTGGTAAATGTGAATAAAAATTATAGTTTCATGCTAAACTGGATGCTGCTAGCATAGTTAAAAATCTTTGAGTCTTATTTCCGCAATAAATATATGTGAGTAGCGCTTAATTATTATTCATGCCTGAATACAGCACATTGAGGATTTGAAGAAATCTCTACCCTTATTGGCGACCAAAGCGAGCCTGCCTAGCGTCTTGATGCGGATTTTGCCGCTACACACTGCACATAATTAATTTCTCGTATTATCATACGTGTTTCTAAATAATATAGTGCACGAAAAATTTGCCTGCTCTGCATAAAAAAAGGTGTTGCATTCGTTCTGGCCACTGCCAAAGGTGACATAGCTTTTAACAGCACAATATTTATTAAGACTGGCGTGCGTGCTTTCCACGCCATTGACTTGTCTCGGAGTAATGATACAAACATCACCAATACAATCTACAGTACATAATGTAGTACAATATTGTATTAGAAATGCGTCCACATATCCCTTCATGCCACACTGTCTGCTATTACTACCGGAATTGTGTACAGAGCTACGTGAGACACTGAAGTGCAAACCCTCGCATGCACTGTGACGCGCACGCGTAAGCTAAACGCATGCGCCGCTACACTATATTGATGGCATGGTTTAGTGTTTAGCTGGTTACTCGTTGTCTCTGCCAGCTCGCGCAGAAGTCTGAACGCGGCTAACTACACTACTAGATAGCATGCGAGAGCGATACACGCCCTGCGTTGCATCTTCTGGTGCCTCGAAGTACGCAGAGCATCGACCGTGGTAAGCCACGTCCGTGCTATTTGCATATAGCTTTTTCGCGCTCTAGCTTTGCAACGGAGCATTTTCAGAGAGAAAACGCCTTTATTTTCTGACCTTCGTCGCCCGTTGGTAGATGTATCGTTTCTGTGGACGAGCAGACGTTCGAGGAGTGAGATGTAGAGTAACAGACAAACAGACACAGAAGACCCAATGAAAAGCACTAAAGTGCAAACCTCGGCGAAGTAGCTCGGAGAGAGTCTGACACGGGCTAGCTACAGTAGTAGATAGCACGCGAGAGTCGATACACGCCATTCGTTGTGACTTCTTGTGCCTTCAAGATAGACAGAGCAAGCGGACCCGGTCGAGGTAGGAAGCCTGCTAAATATAAGCGCATGCGCATTATCCGCCAGCGATGAAAATGGCGACTACGGCATTAGCCATACAATGCTGGAAGCGCCGTGCAGCTCTGCCACGGAGCATTTTTCAGAGAAACCACATATATTTCTGAAGCCTCGACGCCGCAGTTGCGTAGATGTGATCGTTTTGTGGGACGAACAGACATTCGAGAGGTGATTGAGAATGTAGAGTAGTAACCGACCACACACACACCGACCAAACTCAAGTACCCTCGCTGCGCATGCGCGCGCGAGGGTGTAATAATAATAATTGTTCGTTGCAGTAGGTGGCGCTACTTAGCCACTGATTCATATCTAGTGGCAGAATTGTACAAACACACAAATGAAAGTATTAAAGTGTGAGAATGTGTGACAATACAGACAACATACAACAAAACTGGGAGATCGTATCATATGGATCCTAATTGCGTGTCTGTCGGTTTTCGTTGAGGTGTACTGTCATGACTTCGCTAAGGACCCATGCCGTTTTGTGTCTCCTCCGATGATGGATGCGAGGGAATTGTCCACTGTATACGGCTCTCCTCGCACGCTGCAGCGTGGACACCTTGGTCGCCCAGCTCACACCGTTGGTCATATACTGTTCAGGATATCTTCGTAAACGCTGAGTTCCTTGTTGGGGATGGAAGCAGAGCAAAGGTTTGAGGGTGATGCTTGACCAGAAAATGTACAGGAAAAGAACAGCCCAGAAAGCGCGTGCGCGATGATCATCACGACAGCTACAACAACCACATGGTGGTGCCTATATAACTACGCTCGGTGATACGGATGCTAAGGGGCCGATAACAATTCTCATCGTTGCTGCTTGAAGGGAGAAGAGAACCAGTTTAACACACATGCTGGTGGTCACGCCGTCATAAGACTTAGATAATACATCCGATACACACACACTTAACATCCAAGCACGATAAACGGGACAATAACACAATAATTAATGATGTGTGGTTGTCCAGTAGCCTGCGCATAAGTCCATACCTAGACTATCATTATATGGGGGTTATAATACCTTTAGGTGCTAATACACTATAACATCAATTTCTGCTTATTAAGCAGATACTCGCATGGCATCACTCCAAGGTTTTACACAGCAGGGCCTTTGTTCTCTTTTTGTAAGTGATATTATATAAAGCTGATGGTTCCTTAAGCAAGTGCCTCTCTGGGATTAACAGTTGTCGCAGTATAAGAAGGTATTGTGTCATGTGGAATTTATCAGGTGTCAGGCGGTGGACAGAATAAAGTGTCAGGACAACAATAGACTCGAATTTTGACCTTACATTCTCCAGTCTTGGTGCGCGTGGACCTGGGGATCTACCTGTGGTTTTCCCTAGAGCAGTGAGACAGATGTTATATTATTATACGGTATAATTATTATCACATCAATGGGAATCACTTTTCTGAAAGGAGGGGGTTAATGATAATGGAGTTGTTCAGTTAGAGGGCGGGAATAAACTCATCCCTTGGGTCCAAGACTAAACCAATGCATTCTTGATAATCGTAAACCTATGGGCTACCTTGCTTGGAGATGGTACAGAGGTTTGTGTAACCTGAAACAAACAACATTAAGTTAATAGTTGTTGTTGCAGTAGTAGTAAAGTAGAGAGAATGTGTATGGAACACTAATTGGAGGAAAACCAAACTTAGCGTCATGTGTGTAATATCTAACGATACTGATGAGTTGACTCCCACATTTGACGTGCATACTCTCGATGTGACTGATTGCGGAACTATCGACACAACATCCCGGAGCGTAATATGTTCGAAATACGCTGTGTAAAAGTAACTGTAAAACACGCACCTTAATATCGAATAGAGCTCTGCTTCCTCACCAAAATGCGTTGCATCCTCTACGTAATACCCGCACTGCCACAGAACGATTCAGCACCATGCAACTATTAAGTGACACAGATGCACTAATGTGTGCCCGATCAAAGCCTGTGAGCGCAATAGTTTTAGCCTCATGGAATATACCACTGCCCACTGCTGCATGCAACTCATTGTTAAAGGACGTGTCAATACATAGGGCTGAAATTTAACTAAACAATAGGGCTCAGTGCAAGAATGCTAAATTTCAGTAACAGTTCAGCCTTATTACTGCCACATTCCCCCTAAGTGACAGATACCACCGATTGCAATGCCTGCCTGTCCCAGCTCAAACCTTGTGAGCTGAAATAGTTCTAGCCTGTGATACTCTCCATAGTCACATATCAATGTGCTATAATTATAATCTTCTTATGTTCGTCTTACCAACGATGACATTGTACGTCATCCTTAGGACCGGGCTAGGGCACATCTGGATCAGTGCCATAAAGTACGGCCCTGGATTGACTGGTGGGTGCAGAGTCACGTTTCCCAATGCAGAAAAGTTGTAGCTGTGTGTAGCAGAATCCTCCAAACACAGCGTCTCCATGCAGTGAAAGAGTACATTCTGCTTGGCTCGTATCGCAGTCGAGCCTGAGTGTACTCTGGGTTGACACCACAGTGACCGGCATTCTCGAACACGACTGCAGTTGGAAGTATGACGTCCTCTCCACTTAAGGCAATTATGTCCTCTGTGGAGTCATCATACGACCGAGCAGTTCCTAATGAGAAGGAGTGAGGAAAATGGAAGAAGGAATAAACGTATACAATTGTTAGTTGTTGGACTACAATAAAATCTTATTTCAAGCCACAGGATTTGGTTTAAGGAGGTAGCAGTGATAAACACCAACTACTGAGTATAGGTCGAAGAACAGCAAGTGAAACTAGCAGTGAAGGTCATGAGCTCTGGTAGCTCAGTCGGTAGAGCGCTCGCCTAGACCTCAGTGTCGTGGGTTCGAATCCCACCCAGGGCAACTCTTCTTTTTTCCATGAAGAGAAAGAGCTCTCCTGGGTGTAGTCACTTATTTGCTTTGCCTTGCCTTTCTACTTCGCTACCTAGTTGTTGACACACCATTCATACACATCCTCTTACCATGGACTATGATACAGCCAGCAATGACGGTGCGTTGGTCATTATTGCCCTCCATGGCTACACAAGCATAGAGTCCTTCGTCCTCTGGCTGTATGTTTGTGATGGTCAGTCGGTCTGTCTCAGCTGAGATCCTGTAAGAGACAGCAAAACAATTCTTGATGACACATTTCGTGAACATTAATAACACTATACTGTGACAGTAACCCTTAGGTCTTGAGCCTGGCTCGCTAGAGCACATGCGATCTGACATCACGAAACAGTTTTGCAACATTGGAAGGCCAAACGCAACAATAATTTTGGTTGCAGTATGCATCAAAGATATATATACCAGTGGTTTACTGCCGCCTCCGGGGCTACCATAATGTAATGACAGCATGCATGAGTTACTAGACATCGTATTTTCTACAGAAAATGTGCTGACCCCCTTCCCGCCCCTGAACACTAATCATTCCTAGAATTCCAGGGTGATTAGACAATGTGTGACAGTGTTTACCTATATACATACCTTCCTTTCCCCACCTTACAAAACTAAGTTTGGGGACAGAGCTAGTCAGAGGGGGAACAGGACACTGTATATTAATGAAGGAACACAGCTATATACACACCTTGAATGGTTGGCCTGTACATTTGATACCATGGCACTTCCATTGGAAGGGTAGAAATTCCAGCCACCAGAGAAGTCAACTTCGACATCCCGGAGGATCTGACACACAAGAGTCTCTTCACTGCCCATGGGAACATCTACGAGGGAGGGGGTACAACACCTCGTCACAGATGTAAGACACACTTTCTCACGGCAGTCTCTATACTCCGAGACCTGACTGTGCGCAACGCAAGGTATACTTACAGTGGCCTAGAAACACCACTCTGATGCCTGCATACAGTGTATATGTAGTTGAGCACTCTTTCATTTCTGTTTACGAAAGTTTACTGAGGGATATATATGCACCGGCATTCATGGACCGCCGTCAACTCATGGCTTAGCTGGGGTGCAGGGATCGAAATACGCTCCCTCAGGTTGCTTTATCGTGACAGCACTACGATTTTCAGGGAACCAAAAGCCGACTATTATACATAAGTATTCGCTGTGGGAGCACATGCAAAAGTTGTCATTGCCAAAGGTGCGATTGAATTCTTCTCTCTGCCAAATTGCATTAACGTTTTTATGTACATGTGTATGTATAATGTGTGTATGTGTATGTATGTACAATGTACATGTGTATGTATTATGCTTACATATAACTTCACTGCCGCTGTCATCGCAGCTCAGCGGTTCGTCTTTACTCTCTAATAATCCATTTATTTCTGATACACATTTGGTGTAGCTCGATCTCTTCTCACAGTCGACTTGTGCACAGCATCTCCCGAAGAAGAGCTGGCAGGAGAAGAACTGTCCAGAGTAGAAGACGGAGCTGTAATCTCATAGCACTCAGCTGCATGCTTTGGGGGCTGCATTGTGAGAGAGTTACATATGCATATAGTGATGTCACTGGAGCAGTTCTTTGCCAGCAAATCATAAAGTGTGACCTCGGTGGATGATGCTACATCTTGTTTGCACTGTCAAGTATCGGTTGTCATTCAGGGTTTTCTAATACGTTATGTAAATGTACAACACTACACCTTACTAAGAATCACTTTTGATAAGTGCTGAGCTATGTCTACGTATGTATATACACAAAACCACAACACCGAATGCATTGCTGCATGGTGGGGGATTTTTCATGCTGCTGGCATTTGCAGCAAAAACGAAAATTTTCGCAGGAAAAACCACAGTTTAGAGAAACAATTTCTGCCAAATAAGGAAGGGAATGCCGGCCATGTTTTCCATAGAGCCCAGGGACGCATCAGTGTTTTATGTATGTAGCTGTGTTCCTTGTGCAACACTGGGGATGAATGGAGGAGTTGGCAAAACAGTGATGTTTGATCGGAGAGATGCCACCTGCAGTTGTTGGCCAGCATGTCCAGCCCACACACTAGCTAATCTATTTACTGAGCCAGCTCCCTTCTCTACTATGGCTAAAGTGTGTGGATAATATACAGCTGGTGTATAGCTACATTGTAGTAAGACCTTGAATTTGGCACGATTACACCCAGCCGTATGAGAAATTCTCAGCGCAAGTTCAACAGAAAACTATCACATCAGGTTCCTGATGTGATAGGCTTCACTGTTCACTCGGAATACGTGATATATAACATTGCTCTTGCATTTGTTAGTTTCGCAACTTCCGACAGTGTATGGGTGTTGGCATGTGCATGAATTGTCAGTGTATACTTGAGTATTATAAGACACATGATGACATCATGTGGGCATGCAGTTGTCATTATACTATGTGGAGCAATCATGGGATGCAAGTCGATTGAAACTGTTGCCAACAACTTCAATCAAAGTATCCACTAAGGACATAATATGTAGACTAGCACATTACATACAGCATATATTCTTACACTGCATGAGGAAGGCTCGATTTTCATGGAATGAAACTCCCATGACAATCAGTGTCCTGTGGGCAGCATACCTAACGTCTAAACCCTAGCCTTTGTACCTTACAGTGTATTTATAATACACAGTGGTCCATGCATTGCAAAACATGTCCGGACTGTATGTCAATTCCAGGAAGACAATGAATATGCTATTGAGGTGTGCGGCGAGTATGTGCATACGCTGTATATTGTAAGTAGGGGTTCAGCCCACTCCACACGGTAAAGGAAACAGGTCAACTGCACCCAGGGGGTGGACATGATTATGCAGTTTCTGACTGAATTGCAACATCAACCAATTGTCTTTGTGCATGTTGTGTAGTTATCAATTGACGAGCACACGGAAAAGCTTAAACACTGGTGTCGTGCACATTTTGAGGGGAAATGCATGTCACGCACAATTAGCAATAGTGACAAGTTTCCTCAAACAGGATGTCAAGTCATCATGACAACATCAGTCCCAATGTAAAATTCATACACTATAATAATATTATATACATAGCAAGGTCATAATTATGCAATTATAACAATTCCCCTAAAAGGATGTGAAAGTACAAGTTTGACAGGAAATATCGTATTGAAGAAGTTCCACTGTGCACTAGTATTGAACTACAGGATGACCTCATAGTATGCATACTAATCACAATGCCAGGAATGAGGATATGAACTACTGAGGAATGTGATCATTTCTTCCCGCTCAGGGACACACCCTTTACCCGGTATGGAGTGTGTAATATAGAGATCATTGTGGCGGCGTGTCTTATGTGTCATTATACATGTATTATTCTAGTATTTTGGTTGGGTGGAATGGGAAAATCGATATTCCTGCATGTCATGAGTCAAGCTAACAGAATAACAAAACGACCACCATACACGCCAAGTCCTTGCCTGGATACTACGAACCAGGGAGGAAGAAAATAGGCGGAGTTGTAGCACACGTGAAGTTCCATCCTGTCATTACTATATATTATGTGTACAACGTTGGTTGCAGCCAGCTACACTCATCTTTGAGCTAGCCAGAGTGCATACCGTATGCACCTGGCACAAAGCCAAAAATGTGCCGTCTCAAGCAGAGTGCTGATTGTCATGCAATTGTACATGTACATTATACACATGCAGTGTATGCATAATATATACTCAACAGTAAAGTATGGCATGACACACTATACACGATTGTAGGTGCTCTTCCTTGTGATGTGTACACAGGAAGTTCGGACTCTACTGAATTGTGTGGTCTGTCTAGGTGTGTATGGGTGCTGTCTCTCTGTGTCCTCCCTCAAGTAGTGTCAACGGGTGTTAGTGTTAGTCTGTCAGTCTGTCTGTCAGTCAGTGCGGTCTATCTGTCCGTCAGTTGTCTGTCTGTCGGTCCGTCAGTTGTCTGTGTACCTAAGTTGTACTGACTCCACTGAAACGGAAGGGCGAAGCGAGAAGTGAAGCAAAAACTAGACAGTCAATTAGTCAACACCAGCACCAAGGATTTCCCCCCACTTAAGACTGTGTGATGATCAACATCCATATTGTCAGAAGTGAAAGAAAAGAATTTTCACCAGCCACAGCCAAAGCACACCAGATAGCACCCTACTTTCAATCCAGCTCTTGGACACCTCAAGCTCCACACATAGCTAGGATAATACGTGTGTACCACTAGTAGATGTTAAGAGCCTTGCCTGCCGAGCTTCCCATGGATGATGCGTACATGTAGGAAGAAAGTGCTTGCTTTAGGTCACTTACGTAGCTACGTAGACCAGACACAAATTCAGTGCATATTTGTTGTATGAAGGGAATTGCTGCCTCAAAAACATACAAAAGGACATGTGCACTAATCACACAACAGACAGCGCACTCCTAAATATGGCAAAAAGATTACGCTGTTATGAACGGAGCTTTGTGTGTGACTCAGCCTGATTCTATACTATCATCCACAGTCTTGAAGCCAAATTTCCATTCACATGAGCACTATGAGCCTAGTCCTGCCCATTATACTGAGCAGTCCGACGGCTCAGTGAGAGAGATGTATGCAACTATATAAGCCCAAGGAAGCCTGATGCTGTCGAGTTAAACAAAAAGCATAGAGTGCAGGGTTTATTCGTTATGCCCTGAACTCACCCTAGAACTTCATTATACATAAGGGTGCATAGAGTCATGTGTATCATACCACTCTCACAAAGCGTGCAGTACGTAAGGTACACAATTCACTTGCATATGCCACATAAGCTCAGAACAGCGTAAATATCTGAGCGGAGAGATATCTCGTGTGTTGGTGAAGTAATAGACATAAGCTGCATAACATCTGACAATATCAAACTACAGGATACACTAGAGCACAGTGGCACTTGGACTCTCACAGTCAAGGTTATGTAGTATATCAGTAGGTGGAAATCCTCAGGGTGCATGATGTGGAAGGGACACTGGCCCGCAGTGGCTGTTGGGTGTCTATGACCTGCGGTCATTTCACTGCACTGACCAATATGCATCATTACAGACGCATGCACACAACCTTCATCTTCCTCCACATATCCACGACTTACTATAGACTATACATCTGGACCTTCAGTACCCTGTGTACGTATCTACGAAGTTAACTAACTGATCACTAGAGATATCATATATACTATGGTCCTGCTGATAGCAGTCTCCAGCAAAAGATAAAGAATTCGGTTTAGCATTGATGGAGCTGTACAGGTATCTCTGGGGGACATGGTCAGCCAACAGAAGCATAGCAACGCCAGCACAGACTCACAAAATACATATCTTACCACCTATGCTTTTACCAGATCTGTTCTGGATTCAGTGAATTTGGGTGCATTGGCACAAGTAAAAGTATGCCCAACTATGGAAGGAATGCCAAACCCACTCATCCTCAGGGACCCAAGGGTATTTAGTTATGGCTGCCTATCCAACCGCAGCCTCTCGAAGAAACGTGTTATCAAGCGCACGGCGATGCCACCGGACAATCAACCTTGACGACAAAATGCTATAGCGAGTCGAGCGCTTGCGGCAGTGGTCGTCATTTATCCTGCCTATCTGGCACAGTTTCACCGCGGCACTAAACAGGACACTGGGAAAAGATCTAAAGATCTGAGCAAGAAAACAAGCGATCCCAAGCGATCGCAGATCTGGGTCACTAGCTAGTCGGAACTCGCGACTGATCCCCGGTCACAGCACTTCAATCACAGTTCACACCGAAACATAAACTCACCTTTTCTCAGTAGCGGGAGTACAATAGACTGGTAAGACTGTAGCTAATACTGGTTCCTCAGCAGACGAGTTCACACCTGAACAAACGCGACTTGCCAAATAAACCGCTGAAGCACTTGACGCCACACCCCTCCGTATGAGCCAGCGCCCAACCCCCAAGTATAATAATTACGCATGCGCAATATCTTTCACTTAAGAAACTGACGTTCAGCATTTGAAGATAGCCTGACTGCAACAAAAATGCATGTCAGAGATGTTGTCGGGTGAATGCACAATATTTCTGGCCTTCAGTGCAATTAGCTAGTATGGAGATTTGAGTGGATAACGATAAAGTTTACTGCATGCTACCTGGGAGTGAAGGAGAATAGATCTAAAAGCCCGTTCCCTTGGCTCGCTAGATAGTAGATAGGGACAGTGGGAATCTCGTTAATCCATTCATGCGCGTCACTAATTAGATGACGTGACACAGCAAACAACAGAATTACCAGATAAGTGCACTGGTAATGAATGAGTTTTTTGTTCTCTTTTACTCTATAGAATGTGCCAGAATTGGCAAAACCATGCATCTCGGCAGAATTGCAACAGAATTGCATCTCAAGGTATTTAAGTGAGCGTCCTTGGCAATTGTAGCTACTCCCCTTTTAAATGTGCAAAAATTAGTTTGCCTGACATTGACACGTAGATATATTGTTTGCGCTAACTCCTTACAATGCGTACTGAGTGCTTTTCATAAATCAGCTATATACAGTAAATTATTTTACATAGTTTTTCAACCTTTTGCATTTTATAGATCTGTTCAGAGTGAAAGAGGAGGTTGCCGCCACTGGTAGCGATAATACACAGGCAGTGGGAAAGGATCGGCGAGAGATTTATCTGCTCTTACAATCATTGAATGAGCTAACACACAAAGTCCTATCAGCTTTGTCACAAATATTGCCCTCCATAATACATTTCCAGAATGAAAAGATGGCCATTTGTATGAATTTTCCAACATGGGATGGTAAAATAGCCCATAGTAGAACTGGCACTGAGACACAGTCCAAACCCTCAACAGCACAAAGGGGCCTGAGAGAAGCAGTCTCAGGTCTCAGATAATTCTTTCCTCTCCTCTCCTCCTCAAGAACAATAGAGGGCGGGAGCTACCTAACTCTACAAGTAAAAGGTGCGATGTGATTGCCAACTGGCAACTATAGTTATTATTGCTCTAATAGCCCATGCAGAGATTGGAAGGCAATCCAACTTTTTAAAATTCTGAAATGTGTGCAATCCCCATTTTACTCCTAAAGTGTCCATGGTCTCCAAACCGTCGATTATTCTGAGCATGCGTATTAGCGACCGTCAAATCTGGGAACTGAGCCGTGTGCGCTCCATTGTATATACGACGTGAACAATCTGCAGCCATGGTGCGCGCAAAAACACATTAAACTAGTTCCACGATGCATCTTCTATTTGCAACATTATGTCTCGTTTCAGCGGCCAGCGCTAAGGAGGACTCGTCCTCCAAGCCCGTGTACTTTTCCTTCATCTACTCCGGAGGAAAGCCCCGGCGGTTTCAACTCGTCCGGAGTCATACCCGCCGTGGACATTGCTCTGGAGGAGATACAGCGAAACAATCTCTTGCCCGGCTACAACCTGACCTACGATGAACCCGTCGACTCAAAGGTGACACCGTCTGCAACAAACTCCCATGTATCTAGTTAGCAAACTAGCAACTAGCTAGTTATAGTCTCTAAAAGCGCTATTATGGCTAACATAATGCATGGGATTTGTTGTTATGTCAGTGTTCAGACGTGTTCTTCGAGGATACAGACAGCAATCCAGTACCAAAGATAGCTGTGATTGGGGCTGGCTGTTCCGCTGCAACTGAGCCAGTAGCTGAGATCAGCCATCACTGGAACATTTCTCAGGTATCCTCAGTTATCGTGTATAGAGCACTATGTATACTGTATAATCTACAAAGTTGATATATAATAATTTAGTGCGACACGTCACATTAACAGTTTTAAAAAGAATTGTGGAAAATTAATGTGACAAAATAATTCCTGCTGGGGGAGGCAAAAGGGCAGCAATAATATCAGCAATCATGCTAACCTTATATGCTGAAGTCATATCTCCTCCTACTTGTTGTTTGGGTGTCCACGTACATACCCACTTCTGTAATAGTTGACCATTCAAGTAGTGCACTAGCTGCACAAGTGGCTTGGATCACTCGGTATCAGAAATCCAATACCGCACAAGGTTCGAATTTACACTGCCACACGTGGCTTGGGTTACGTGCTTATTTGTAACCATGATCCGGGCAAAGTGTACGAGTGCCCTGTGGGGACCACCATGATCACTGGACCGAGGTCAGAGCTTATTTTACAGACCCAGTGGGCCGTGGAGCACTGTGTATTGCTGTTAGTGGATCAGAAACAGAAGTGTACCTGATCAATATCATGTATTGTATATGCAGACCATAAGGAGGGAGGGGTACAGGTGCACTGGGTTTTTTTGCACACACCTGCCATGCCTTTGCACACCAGACGGTCTGGTGTGCAAAGGCATGGCAGGTCTGACCATTAGTGCCCCTCTTTAAAAAGTTGCTTGCTGCCTAGTCCTGCTGAGTAGATAGAGCCAACTGGCAAGGTCTGCTGTGTACAGCAAGCTGCCTGAGATGGAACCTCATAACTTGATCTCCTCTACACAGCCCTAAGAGCTGTATATAGTCACAATCATTGTGTACAAAATGACTCCCTAACTCCTGGGAACAAAACACGTTTATAAATATTTATTAGCATAACTTGAGAACCTAACATTATAGTAGTGCTTGTCATACCCCATAATTAATGGTGGGTAAATGACCAAGACTAATGTTCCCTTAATTTATGTGTTGTTCCTGTTTTTCAGCAAGTAATACTCTAGTGGCATTGCCGGGACCCACCCAGTAATTTGTTGGCTCTATGGGTATGTCACATAAATGGGCACGGGCTTTTTGTACCTTTAAAATACTCATTGAGAGCAGTTACAGTCCTATTATACTACAATAATTACGTGGCTACAGTTTTATTTATTTACAAGAGTGAGACTCCATAGCACACATACCAACCAATGTGTCGTGGGTTACAATACTTGGGTAATGGTTCGTGAAATGTTGGACTTATCAGAGCAGTGGCCATGTTACTGATGTGTTAATAAAGCATGCAATAACGGTGGCTTCAGCAAGACAAATCATGTACTGCTTGAGCATTTCCATGTTATCAGATCATGGGATGTGTCACTATGGCAAACATACCAACACCAAATGTCCAACTGATCCCTAGATACCAACGAGTTATGCACATACAGTCTTCAGATGATTAAACACAGACTTCTTACAATAATGAGGCCATGAACGGTGAATATTGACTGCTAGCCTCATGATGCTCGGAGCGAAGGAGCCGGATATCTGAACATGCTCTCTTTGAGTCTGTGGTCCATTGAATGCTAGATACACATGGCTTGTGGACTCTTTTCTGTTCGTCTCTTGACTTTTATAGATATGCATATGCATCACCACTGTCGTACTCTCACAGCGACCGACAGAGGTTCAAGAAACTTCTTACAGGACAACTCCCACCTTCAACAACTATGTGCCCTCGCGAACCTGCTGGTGCTCTCGTGAACAGATCACTGAGAGACGACTCGCATTCATCACTGCAGAACGAAGACGTCTTTCAACGGTACATAATTAAAATTATCACGCACCACACAAAAATTAACTGCGAGAATGAAACAAACGTGAGTCACTATTATGTCACCCTGGGCAACAAGCAGTTTTGTGAGCAAATCCCACAAGAAACTGACTTTTCTTTTATACTGTACTCTCTTCAGACGTTCACCCTCCCTTGCGTGACATGAGTGTGATACGCACAATTATCAGCTCTATGAACTAAAGTGTAACATTATGCATACCAAGACATTCGATCTCCTACAACAGTTGTACACAGACTATGCACAGCTTCAGGAGAACCTGAGAGATGGACCAGTAAAGAGTGCTGTTTCGCTGACCACCACACCACTACAGTCAACGTGGTGTTTGAAAGCAGAGGAGACACTCATCAGATGTCATGGACCTCTTAGTAAGACTCCACGTCATGTGTTATATCGTCTGATCCTGGCATCCTATTGCCTCACGTAAACAGCTTTGTTACAGCAGAGCGTTGGTGTGTGTGCATTGCGTCTGGCACCTCAATGGGGTGATTTTTTGTGTTTTCCCTTTGAAAAATTCGCAGGACGGGAAGGAGTATCATGTGTTCTTTGTCAAATGCTTCTTTCGTCACGCCCAGAAGGATCATCTGTGAGGTATATACATACCCTATAGCACTAGTTTTTGCTCAACAATAAGCATGCATAGGCGAGAAACAAAGGGAACAGAGGAAATGCACTTCCGAAGTAGGAAAATATTTAAGTAAACAATGAAACTGGTTAAGTGTGTACCATGGATATGCACAGAGACAACTAAGACGTGTTGAACTTTATTCACCAATGATTACACAGGCAGCTAAACGGAACTTGGTCTACCCAAACTATGCCTGGATATTCTATGCACTATACCCTGACCAGTGGTGGACAGATAACACCATACCAGTCGACTGTACCAATGAAGAGCTGGAAACATTTCTGTTCAACTCGCGAGGTCTCCTGGCGCACATTGTGCCCGAGCCAGACAATTTTGATTCCTCCACTTCAGCTGGAATAGTGAGTCACAGACTCTGCTGTCTCGCAGCTGTTCTAGTGCATTTCATCATATAGTTGTTAATAGGTGATATGCTGTCTATTTTTCTAAGCATACACAAAACAATTGGTGGTATTTGCACACTCAACACACCTCTGTTTAGTTGTTTAGTGTTCAATGTTTGTACCTATGGCATATCTGGTCCACCAATTGTCTATTAACACACTGCATTGCGGTACGTTTATAATCACTCGTTGCATATGTGTGTAACTTTTAGCAAAGTGCTTCCATACGTACATTTCCCACAGTCTGCCAGTGATTTCGTGGGGATGTACATAGAGAGGGCAGCGCTAACAGGCTACTCACCCAACATTGCTATCACTGGGGCCTTTGACGCGGTGTGGTCCCTAGGAGTAGCTCTCAACATAACAGAGGGAATGAGACTCGGCAATGAGACAACTGACAACTGCAATGCATCAGAGTTGGCCGGGGAACTGGTACCACTGAATGAGTTTGACTATACCAATACTCTCATGGGCTGCGTTGTCAGGAACAACCTTCAATCCCTCAGCTTTAGCGGGGTCACTGTGAGTTGTAGTTAGCACATTTTGTGGTGCATGTGTCTTAAATTTATTATTGATCTCTTTATGGTTGCATGTCAGTAAAGAATGGTGTAAATGAGGGACGTTTGATGGAAGAGAACAATAACAAGCTACCATTGATTCTGACATCTATACCACTTTCAGGGTCCAGTGACGTACGGGGCAGACGGCACAATAGTCTACACAAGGATCCGACTATCACAAGCTCGATACGTAGAGGGACAAGGTAATTACCCAGAGCATTGCGTAACATCCTCTACCTTAAAACAACAGAACATGAGGAGAAAATACAGAATACAGTGACAGAGATATGAATCACTCTTCTCACTATATTATAGTGCATCTCCTTGTTACAGCACTAGCCTAAGATAAGCAAGCAAGAAAGAAAGAACCATATTTTGCCACCATCACCACACCTGCCAATAAACACAGAAACAAAACACAGATTCATATGTAACATTTCTACCTTCAAAGTACAAACCCTTCAGCAATTTTTGTGTGTATGTATGTACCTCATGTGTACCTGTTGCGCACTCTCTCAGAGGGACTCCAGAGAGTGAGGTTTGGATATCTGGGCAAAGACTCTAACTTCTCACTCAGGTTTGCTGACGGACAGAACGAGGCCATACTCTACCCAGGTAGCTATCCCTGTATTATCATTGATGCATCAACTTTTTTCTACACAGAGTAAAATTTGTGTATGTAGTACGAACTGCATGGTCAAAGGATATTTTCTGTTTTTATCTAGAAGTTGGCAAAATAGCTATAATAGTTTGGGTTATCCTATATAGTTTTCAGTCGCATATTTTGACGTGACTGATAGTAAAGCACAGAGGTGACTGTAATACTTGTAAAGCTTCTGTTTACTAACTGCCACTTAAAAACATTTTACCTATGCATGCTTGTAAACAATGTCGTAGCAACAAACTGTTCATGCAGAGCGCTAGCCTTGAAAGCAGAGTGTCGTGGGTTCCAATCCCACCCAGGGCAGCTCTTCTATTTTCTCGAAAACAAAGAGCTGTCCTGGGTGTAGTTGACTTGTTTTGCTTTTCTTTGCCTTTGTACCTCGTTGCCTTGTTATTGACACACATACACAGATGGTGCTCCACCTGATGGGACCCCACTGGTGATAATCCACACCTACCACCACTGGCTAGTCGGGCTGTTTGACCTACTGGCTTTCTCTGGAGTCATGTTTGCCATCGTTTGCTCTTTTTTCAACTTCGCCTTCAGAAACAGGAGGTAAAGGACAACAGAAAACATTCACAATTACTGACCAATTTTTTTTTTTATATGTTTCAACTTCATGGCTTGGAAAATACCTATCATGCCAAGAAACAAGAAATATTATCAGTTATTAATGTTACTCAATTGAAACAGGATAAGGGGTATGGATGCCTAGGTTGTAGCAAAAGGATGTTTTTCTCTTGATATTAGTCAGAGATTGCTGCATGTTTGACATACACTGACTGGACTACCATAAACTTTTGCCTCTTTGTGTGTCTAGTTTTGTTTTCACAGTGGTAAAGTGTGCCATACGCATGTAACAATAGACCATGTGATGCCAAGAGAAAAAAAGATACGGAGCTCTGCATGTACACTATATATTTCTCAAACGACCTTTGCAGGGTTATTCGACTAACATCACCTACACTCAATCACATAATAATTGGAGGGGCACTGCTGATGTACGTTTCAGTCATCATTGAGTTTATACCATCCACCAAAGAAGCAATTATAAAGGCACAGTGCATAGTAAGTACACTACCGTAACTTTTCGTATGTAAAGATTTCTTGACAACTCTGTGTATAAAATTTATCACCATGAAAATTGTACTTCGGAAGTGCACGCAGTACGTTAGGTAGTTGGTTGTACAGAGAGGTATAACATAATTATACAAATAGCTACGTATGTACCCAACGATACAACTGATAGCACACTCAGTCCAGTCTCTTCACTTATATGCTGGATGCAACCAGAAACAAACTTGCCTTCAATTATACGTTGCGAAAAACTTTTTCATGTGTCTAATTTTCACAGAATTTCAGTTTGTGTTCTAGACAAAGAATACATTATACAATTGTTGCAATCGTATCATTGTTTTGCAGTTGCATATTTGGGTGTACATCATTGGGTATCTCCTGGTGTATGGAATAATTCTAGCCAAGATGTGGAGGGTCTACCAGATATTTCAGAACCCCACCACCAAGAAGAAAAACGTATGTACTTTCAATTAGCAGTTCTCATGTCATCTCCTTGTGATTTGTGTTACATAAAGATGAGGCGCTAAACTTCAAAACCTCTGTACAAAAAGCTAAAAGAGATAATTATAACGCAGTGGTAAACATATCCCAATCAAGTATTGGGTGTGGTCTGATGGATAAGGACCCACAACTGGTCTGGGCCACTTTTTTTATATGAGTGTTGATACAAGAGGAACGTTTTTTCATCAGCCCGTTGTGGCCAGCCCAAGTGGCTCAGTGGTTAGAAACGTGGGGACTGACAGCATAGTGCCTGGTTCGAGTCCGGACCAGCAGTGAAACTGTCAGTAGGTCCAGGCATAGTAATGCGTCCGTATATAGACGTCTGCCTGGAGAGTTGGAGGGCTGGCCCATAATTTTTTTTCGACCTTAGAATTTATTTTTGGGCCTAAAACAATTCATGGATACTTTTAAATGGTGTAAAACATTCAGTTATATTTTTTACTGCATGGCCAGTAATGGTTTTTAAGCTTCTCAACAACATTTTCTAGATAGATGGAGGGTGTGCCATTTTTTAACCATAGAATATTAATGTAATATGTGGGTAAGATGAAATCTTATTGCCAGTATTTTTTCCATGTGTATATAAGAAGCCTTTTAACATGAAGATCGCCCATAAACATTTTTGGTGTATACACAATTATTATTGTGTATTAATCCTCACTATATGCAACTATATATATATGCCACACTGTTTACTCCTGAAAGGTTTTGACGACATGCAACTTGCTGTGGGCAGTAGGAGGGATAACTGGCATTGGAGTCCTGCTCATCACTGCCGATACCATTGCTCAGCTCCTTACGTCTCCTGAGCTGGTATCTGATGCCGAGGACCCATCTGGAACCACAGTAATACATAATAATATGATAGTGTCATGTGTAAACTATGTGTAGTCACATGAGGGGGTGTGGATACGCCAGACTAGGAGGTTGAAAGGCAAATGATACAGAGCTGGCAGGGTACCTGGGACAGAAAGCTGTAACTTTTTAGTGTCTGTGGAATGGTCACTCATTATCACTACCATTGACCAGTCCTCTTCATCTATTGACTAAGAAATGCCACTAGGATGGGAAATATAATATTATAGTCATACTATAAATAGAATGATCCAATGGAAAAACATGTTAAGTCTATGTTAAGCCGGTCCAGAATATTGACTTATCTGGTTTCCCACTGGGTCATTCAAATTTAATTTATGGCAGCCACCTGAGTATTATGTATGTATATACATATGTCTCTCACGTGTAATTTCTTCACAATAGGACTCTGACATTCGAGAGACACACATGATATGGCGCTGCTACAAGAGTGCGTCACCGCCAATGTTTGTTCAGCTACTGATCTATGCCTACCTCATTCTACTGCAAATGGTGGGTATCGTCCTGGCCTTCCAGACTCGGAAAGTGAGAATCAATGTCCTCAACGATGCCAAATCTGTTGCGATGCTCATCTACATCTCGAGTATCGTGCTGGTGGTGATTGGACTGGTAAAGTTTTTCGCGAGGAGCTACATCAACATCAGTGCCGCCATATTCTCGAGTGGGATCCTCATCCTTGCCACATTCTTCCTTGCTCTCATCTTTATCCCAAAGGTAGTTAATTTAATCGCATCGCTTTACTTCATACTGTTAGAGCTGCCGTTGCAAAAATGTTGTCGAGCTACTTAGCTCAGTGGGAAGAGCACTGGCTGTGTAGAGAGCGGAGTATATACCTGGGTTCGAGTTCTGCCAAATTTTACGATTTGTGTCACCTTTGTAGCATTATCGTATATAATTATTATGAATTACCTGGTGTAAGTATGTGCTTTTGAACTGTGTCACAATCATTCTCACATGCAGATGGTAAACCTCTACCAGGATCCAACAGGGGATAAGGTGTTCAGCGCTTCTATGACGGCACAGTCTCGAAACAGCGAAGACCAGCAGCGACACGAACTAGCCGCAAAGCTCCCAAACCTCACAGACCCAGAAAAGATTGAAATCCCCAATGCACGCGTCCAGAGCCTCGAGGAGAAAATGATCTTGAAGAATAGGAGGATACGAGAACTAGAATCTTCGAATTCATGACCGATTGTGACACTTCATTGACTATGATATCTATAATTATAATTTCCCCGCGTGTTCTTGATTGCGCATGCGTCGCAAACAAATTGCATAAAAGTCGCAGAACAAACCGCACTTCAGCATCTCGGTCGTTCATTATGAAGTGTTTCCCAGTGGTGTCTGCTGCTCTCATTCTCGCATGGGCCGTTGCGAGTCTGGTCTCCGGACAAGACGACCTCAAAACGGTCTACTTCTCGCTCATCGTCTCCAATGGAGAGTACGGGTACCGGTCGTCTGGCGCCGTCCCTTCCATCGATTTAGCTCTGGAGGCAGTTCGGGAGCATGCAGGTTCTCCTGGTTACAATCTCACGTACGAAACGTCAGGAACTCTAAGGTAGCTATAGATGTAGCTAGATGCATGCTTGTGATTTGATGGTATGCTCTTCTAGCTAGCTATATAGCTAGTAGAGGTTGGTCTGACTTGTGTTATCGTCCTTCTCATGCAGCTACATCATCAAGCGTTTTGATCAGCCATGCCTGCAGAGAAAGGTGGTGCAGCATGCATGTGTTTTGGATATTAGTGTAGCTGATTTTAATCGCGATCACCCGGTTTTTACAGTGCCGCGGACGACTCCCTGATGCCTTCTCCTTTGTGGCCACGCAGAGCGGAGCCTCACACCGAGCTCGCCGTCGTGGGCTGTGCGCTGCTCCCGGCGGCGACTGAGCCGTAGCCGAGATCAGTCATCACTGGACACATCACGCAGGTCAGCAATATAGCTTTAGTAGCTGTGAGCATAGGTTTGACCGCTAGCTCTACTACATCGCGAAGAATCTAGAGCAAAGTGCTCCGGGTCACTGGCCCCATAGCATAGAGTATTGACAATCACATAGTCGTAGGCAATAATTACGACCGTTCACTCTTGGCTAAGGTATTGCCATCACATAATTTAAGCAATAATGAATGCCTGTGTAAACAGGCTAGGTAGTAAACACTCTAAAGCATGGAAAGTGATATTTTGTGAAAACCCTAATCCCCTACGCAACAGAGGTACATGCAGTGGTAAATGGTTGTCATTTTCGAGAAGGTCGAGTTTCTGTCACTCCTCCAACTGTATAATATAGGCAGCTACACGTATTATACGTGCCTAAGGGCATCGCTTTTGCCTACACATTGGATGTTCTCGATCTTGGCTGCAAAAACGCTTGCTGATTGGGGTGTAGTCTATACATAATATCACTACAAGCATGTATAATTTGATTAAGGCAGAAATGTTAATGTTTTGTGGCATCATGTTCTGTTATGGCGCAAGGTTAACAACTTCTACATTGTGTGATTGTGTTCCCAGATGTTGCAATTTTCCACTTTCTTTGGTGGTCAGTTTTCGCCTCTGTTAACACATGCGTATGCAAAGCAACACTTCAAAAATAATGTATCCTTCATGCATCCGCACCCTTGCATCTAATGTAGTTCTTTATTGTGTGTATCCTGTTTGGTATCACATGACCGAAACAAATGTGATGCATATCTAGTGAGCAAAAGCGTGAGAGGCTGTGTGTGGTTGTTTTTAATTTTACAACGTTCCATACACTTTGATGATCATATCGCACGATTTCATCACAAGGTAGCCTGCTTCACTTATACTGATTGTGACTATGAGTAATGAACTGGTGTATGGTTAGGGAGGTTCGAAGTTTGAATCCTTACAGATCAGTTTCTCTCGCCCTTATCTGCACATTCGGTGGCAGGCAATAATCTTTATCTGCCTGCATAACGCACTGTTTGTTATGAAATTGTGTGAGAGAGTACTCTAAATTCTAAATGAATCTCTCTAGATATCATTTGCCTGCTGGTTGTCGACGCTCAGCGACAGGTCGAGGTCAGGTACTATTTCCGTACCACTCTCCACGACGTCAAACTATGCCCCCGGCCACCTCGAGTCCTCAACATGTTTCAACTGGAACTACTGGCGTCTTCACTCTGAACCAGAACGTCTTTCAATGGATAATACCTATGTACGTCATTGGTGTAATATGCGTGCTTTGTGTACTTTGTGGAGTTTACGTAGCAGGTCTTGTATATACCTTGAGTGTCACAGATTTGCTTATAGTTTATAGTGCAATTATCATACAAACATACAAGCTCTGGTGACGTCTTGTTTTACTAGCTTCATATGAACTGTAACTGAGGCACACAGAGGCATCCACGACTTGCTTAAAAATTTCAGGGAACCAGATTATTTTTTAGCTGTTGTATATATATACCAACTGAATGTGCAATCCAGCTAACCATGGTTTACCTAGTGCGCACTCTCTGAGGTTGTAACACCTGCACTCTGCAATGGCAGCATGCCTGGAGTTTGAGGCGTAGTAAACAATACATTGCCAACTCCCTGATTGTTGGCCCGTGGAGCCTGACCTGTCCCATGCCACAGTGTCCCAATTGTAAGGAAGCACCATACTACTTTATGGTGGCTACTCTAGTTATGCTGTGGGAGAGCACACAAACCTGGCTTACTTTGTTATGGTGCCAGTTTGTCTGTGTCATTAGGTTTGTTACAGATCATTAGATCACATATAGTTAGTCCCTTCCCACACCCCTCTCCCTCCTCCGCTCCCTCCTCCTCCATGTTTTATGCTTTACTATCTTCCCATCTCTTCCTATGGCTCTTGTCTTTCCTTCCCTATTGTACTTTGTCGTCCTATCCTTATCACTCATATACTCCCTCTCTATCACTTTCTCTCTCTTCAGATTGTGAGTGATGTAGAGAGCTCTACCATAGAGTGCGAGGGAGGCAAGTAGTGACGTTTGCTGTGTGTGACGACAATTGGAACATCATCATCCAGTCGTCCGTCTTGACGAAGTCGACGGAGATCCATGTGGCTGCAGTCAGCGCGAGCAGTCTTTGTAAGAGACATGATATAGCAATGTAATTTCTGTTGAACTGTACACCCAAAAACCATCATTTACATGTACAAGTTGATCGTTATACGACTGCCCGCGCTATAGTACAAGCCGTATTTTTCTTTCTGCTACATAACAGAAACATACACACCCTTGTGATCACCTAAACATTGTAATGCACATATTGTTCTGCCTTAGTTTACGGGCAGGATTATTTACATACACTGTTTACTCAGGTTTTTGAACACCTGTGTTTGTCCACATTTTTTGTATCATCTGCCCATCCCAGTAGTATGGAGGACTTTTGTTTCTGCAAGAGACTTTGAACATGTGCTTGTCTCTCTTCGCGTCTAGGACCAAGGAACATTCCACGTGTTCTAGTCAACAGCTACTCATCCAAATTTGCAGACCTATTATTTGTGAGGTACGTATGTGTGCATTATTGTAAACGTGGAGGGAATGGTAGCATTTCCCATAAATAAACTGAGGCACCAGCAAAATTTTTTGGGTTGCAAAGTCCAGGTATATTTTTGCTCATTTTTTTCTTTTTGTTAAATCATTTTCTGTCATAACCACAATAAATAAAACTTACAATTCGATACAGTTCTGAACAATTTCTTTCCTGCAGGCAGCTAAGAGGAACCTTGTGTACCCACACTACGGCTGGATCATGTACACCTGGTACCCCGAGAGGTGGTGGACTGAGGAGGTGGCGGGAGAACACATCGACGAGTGTAGTGACGAGGAAATGGAGGAGTTTCTCGTGCGGGCACAACCCCTCCTAATTAACCTCGTCCCGGAGCCCGACGACTACAACCTGCAGACAGTTGCCGGATTTGTGAGTTTAAACCGCACTCTCTGGCCTTCATTTATGATGTGGTTTGCTTAGCCTTTTCCTTGAGACTTAGATACGTACATGCTTTAGTTGATGTGGGGACATATTTTGTTCTAAGCTAGGCAAGATTGACGCTTGTTGTGGCAGAAAATTAAGGGATGCATAAGTGCACATTAAACGGCTCGACTATGAGGAAATCTCTTGAGATAATACTGTTGGAGCTCAGACCCATAATCCTCTGCTTCCCAAGTAGAGTGTGATACTACTTCTACTGAGCTATATACATACTAGTTGGTGCAGGGATCAAGTGTACAAAAAGGCAAAGGAATTCTGAGCGTAGTTGCATGGAAAGCCGTCATCTGAAACCGTCAGTAGCCTCCAGTGACACCCACTGCACGCATACACACGTAACGTTATGCGGTGCTATTTTCTAGACGGATTACTATTTAGGTCGCACCTGGTGTTATTAGTTTTACTGTAAAGCAGACACATAAACCACAACCGCACGCCATTAGTTTTATGCATGGAAGTTTATCTACACATCATTATAGTAACTGCTATAAGTGGCTATCACGCTGCAAGTACGTATTAATAATTAGCAGCGCAGAGGCCGCACCAGTCATGTATAGTGCAATTTGGCCTCTTCGTCGACGACAACCAATACAGTGAGGTAAGAGCTGTTTAATATCTTTGTCTGTTGAGTGTTCGTAATTGCTTGCTTTCAGCTTTGACAATTGAGTTTTGAGACTTGGAATACACGACAAATAAACATGTAGATCATGACTGCATACACGTTCAAGTGAGCTTTGTGGTAGTTCATATGTAGCACCTGCATGGTATAGTCGCTATCAATATATATGTCCCACTACGTAGCTGGCCTTGTATATTATCAATTATGGTCTCATGGGTGCAATAAAATGTAGCATATATACACGTTCATTGTGCAAGTTGGAGGTTGTGGTAGTGCATCCGGCATGGTCTATAATGATTGTGTACCTAGCTGGCATTGTACCCACAGTTATAGTATTGATGCCTTCTGATAATGACTTCTTTCCCTTCTACTTAAACTTGCAGTCATCCCGAGAGTTTATTGGCAATTACACCACGCGATTATGGCCAGAGTCCAACTACAATCACAGCTCAATCTTCCTGATGGCCTTCGATGCGCTGTGGTCCATGGCCCAGATGCTCAACTACACCGAAGAGATGAGACTAAGAGACCTGCCCAGGAACCACTCTGATTTCGACGAGTGTCGTCATTTGGATGGCAGTCTTGTCCCCCTGGACGAGTTCAACTACACCAATGCCTTCATGGGTTGCATGATGAGAGACAACTATTACAAGGTCGACTTTACAGGAGTCTCTGTGAGTTCTGTTAGTTCACCGTTGAGTACGGGACATTTTAAGTACGTATAGTAGCACACAAAGACAATTTTAAAGGAAGGAACACTTTGTATATAATTGGTAAAAATATGTGCAACAAGTGACAGGAGTAAGTGCCCGTTGGCTCTATTTTCAGATCAAATGTCCAAAATGCACATTCCCACCCCAAACATGCGTGCGTACGCTCAGGGGCCTGCAGTAAGAATGCAGACAATTATCGTAACACGTAACAATAAACCCTCTCCTTGTGCTAGTAATCTGTTTCAGTGAGACACACGTTGTCAGTGTGCCATCTGACCCAACCGCACGTAATATTGATTGGATTGCAGGGTGTTTTTGTAATCAGACGTAATCAGATCACCTCTCACCCCGTACAATGTATGGGCACATTGCATTGGGGATATCACCCACCATAGATTACTGACTCATTATGAGAGATTACTGGCATTGAGAATTACTAGATAGAATACTGAAGATTACTGCCATTGGTATAATAATCCGGAGTTATGGGTAGAATACTGAGCATGCAATGCTAAGGAGTTGACAGAAATTACTGAAGAATACTGATAGATTACTGGTGTTGTGTGTTGTTCTTTACCTGTCCAAAATGCAGGGTCTAGTGAGATATAGTGAGGATGGCACCATCATCTATACACGGATCAGACTGGCACAGTGGAGAAGAGTAAACGGTTAGTTAGTAGAATGTCAATGGAGAAATATCCAGTTTTCATTGGCTACACTACGTATGTACGTATATGTACCACCATGCTGCTTAACTCTCCTTTTCTCTTTATTAATTCCTGTAGTTGCGCTTGACACGGTACGATTTGGTTACCTGGACGGAGACTCTAATTTCTCTCTCGTGTATGACCCTGGAGAGAGCGACCAGACACTCTACTCAGGTAAGGCACACTGTTGGGGAACTGCACGTGGGCACATCAGGTAGAATAATGTGTATGTACCTATATTATGCACACACACTGCTGTACTGTAACATGATCTATAACGTGATCCATAACATTGTAAGGCCCACTGTAGGAAAACGGAATGCCAGAACTAGTTAACGTATAGCCAACAACCGAGGAGGATATCCTGTGTGCGCAAGAAGCCTAACGTTAATTGATCTGTAGTCCAACTATATAGACAATCACATTGCTGAATTTCTGCTGCGTCATCGCCTTGGTGCTGATACCTTAAAATTGTGAATTTAGCGAGAATCAGCAAAACCACTAAATTATATGCACGCTAATAATTGTGCCGCAATGAAAGTTCGCTTGAATAGAACAAAAAAATAATGTGTAGACAAATCGCTAAAATTAATTTTAGTATACGCCAAAAACACTCAGTGCAAAAACGCAAAAATTAATACCCGCAATTAATTAGTAACCTTAAGGTATACTGAATGTACTAATGTACTAATGATTGTTGTGTAAACTTTGGAAGCCAGACTAGCTCTAGATGTTGTGATAAGGACTTCCTGTCCAATACTGATATTGGTCAGCCCACAGCTCAGAATACAGCGTATATTCCAAGCGCCTGGATTGTTTTGAAGTTGGACTACAATAATATGTAGCTATAACAGAAGCTTTCAAGTGAAAGGCCTTAGAAAAGCACAATGGGATCACAGCAGTAGCAAGATAATGACCATGATAATGCAGAGAAAGAACGTAGACATGCTCTTGTGTGATATAGTAATCGGTCGGCGTGTGTCAGTCAAAGATGGGTGGATTTCACTTTTTTTTACCACTAGCTGATATACACGTATATAGCAGCACACAAAGTTGTGTATGAGAACGGATCTAGAAATAGTGTCTGGTCAACAGACATCAGTGGCGTGTCCAGGGGGGTGCTTAGGGTGCTCGAGCTCTGCATATAATTATGACTGGCAGTGTGCGCTACTGTGTTTAGCAAAAGCTCCTATAGGCAACACATGCAGCCATCATTACATTTTCAATACACGTATTTCTCGCTACAGGCTGCTATAAAACCTGCCTCACAAGCCAATCAAGACCTCCGCGAACTACGAGGCGACGCTTTCACGAAGGAGCTTGCCCCGCACCGCGGTGCCGCATGCGCATGCACTATGCGCGCGCTGAGCAACCCAACCTGAATTTCTGAACACGCCACAGGACATACACAGCTACCTCAATCTCTCTCAATCTCTCGCCCTGCAGAGGGTTACCCACCAGACGGAACGCCAGTGGCCATCACGAACACCTACCACACAGTTCTGGTTGTCTTCTACTATTTCCTGGCGTGGTCGGAATCACCCTCTCCATCGTCTGCCCGTATTCAACTTTGCCTACCGCAAGAAAAAGTAAAGCTATATTATATATATACAATGTCTAACTTGACACCAACCACACATAATTATATATTACACAAACCCCAAAGAAACCCAATGATAAGGAAACCAAAGATACTAAAAAAAACATGGATTTTCGCAGTAAAAAATTTCCTGTATTGCTTATTTACTATGTGCACAGTAGCTACTTTTTTCATATGGTATATATGTACCACACAGGGTGATCAGATTGACAACTCCTCTGCTCAATTACATCATTGTTTGTGGAGCAATCTTTATGTACGTGTCGGTGTTCTTTGGTGTCCTGCCAACCATCGAGAGAGCAGTCGTTCAGATGCAGTGCATTGTGAGTCAATACGCAGTCTGCAACACTTTGTCGTGTATCGCAGTGGTGCAGTAAGGGTTAAAAATAGAAATGTTACTAAAGAAGATGGAACTAACAATGGGCCCAGTGCAAGAATTTAAGTTTCTATTTTCAGTCACATTTTCTAAATTTAGTCCTTATGCTGTTCACTGTAGTACCTTATGAACATGAAGTGCAAACCCTCGGTGCATTACGCATGCGCGGCACCGCTAATTGATGGCTGCGCTAGGAGTATGCGTTTACTCGTGGTCTCCACGTTAGTTGGTCATGGAAAGTCTGACATGGGCTAGCTACACTATAAGATGGCATGCCGATGTGGGAGTCGAACACAGCCTTCGTGGTCACTTCTTGTGCCTCTGCAAGGTATATACAGAGAGCAAGCGCACCGGTTGAGGTAAGCTGGTGTGATATTATGCATATTGGCTTTTTCGCTTGTTTTTAGGGCATATCTCTCGAAAGCAGTCGTTTCAGGAAAATCGCAGTTTTATTTCAGGTTCGCGTAATTCTGAAGACGTTGGTATCGCTCATGGGCCGCCTCGTAGCCTGTAGTGTGAGAATAGCTGCTGACAGAGGTATAGACAGACAGACAGACAGACACACACAGACCAAGTACCACAACCCTCACTGTGCATGCGCGCCGAGGGTTTTTTGATTGTGAGTTCAAGTGTGTGTGTGTGTGTGTGTGAACGCTACTGTTTGCTGCAACTGTCTTTGATCATAGTGTTGTTCCCCTATTATTACATTATGTTCAGGTCCATGTATGGGCATATGGGATTGGATACCTGCTGGTGTATGGGACCATTCTGGCCAAGATGTGGAGGGTCTACCAGATCTTTCATGACCCTACCCCCAATAAAATGGTACCATCTAAACCTACAGTGAAACTTTCATGGCCTTCAGAAAAGTAGTGACGGTGGCTGTGGTGTATAGTTTGTTGTCCACACTGTGTTTCTGCTGTTCTTGTATATACTGAGGTTACCAACCCGACATAAGTTAAATCAATTTCTTGGGCCTTTTTTGATGTGCTTTTGTCATAATAGTAAGGCACCAAGACAAAGTCACATTCGTAACACAAGGTCTATCACATCAACTAAGATTCCGTTGTAATTTTTTCTGAAGATTCTGAAGGCGTGGCACCTGATGTGTGTAGTGGGAACCATCACTGGGTTTGGAGTCCTGCTGATCGTGGCCAAGACAATTGCCCAGGCACTGACATCTCCTCAGCTGGTGGATGATAGTGAGCACTCCCCAGGACTCACTGTGAGTTCTACTATATACCTTATACAGCAATCACATTCTGCAAGCTACCTTTGCCTGCTACTACTACAAGGGGTTAATGGGGTTGGAATGAGTTGAGGGGACTTGGAAAATTTTGACCAAGAGAAGGTCTTATGCGTTTTTGGAGTTTTATGCACTAACAAAATGACAGTCATTAAAAATTCCGCTTGGTATAGCTATACATGCTCCTCTCACACTCCATAAGCATCTAGCGATTTAGGGTTGTGGGAAGTCTTTCGAAAATCAATTCTTCACCATTAAAGGGTTAAACCCCATTTAAATACACACATACGTACACAGAGTCCTCAGTTCTGGAGGAGTACAGTGTGTGGGCAGTGCTACGAGTCAGGCTCCATCCCGTTTGTCCTGGACCTCCTCATCTTTGTCTACCTCGGTCTCCTCCAGCTGGTCGGCATCATCCTCGCCTTCCAGACCCGCAAAGTCAGGATCCCCATTCTGAACGACTCCAAGTCCGTCACGGCTCTCATATACATCTCCAGTATAGTACTGGTGGTGATAGTGCTCATCACCTTCATTCTGAGGGGCTACATCAACATCTGTGCTGCTATATTCTCGGCGGGGTCATCCTACTCGCCACTTTCTTTCTCGCCTCAGTTTCATTCCAAAGGTGAGCTGTAGTTTCAGCTCTATACTATTGCCATGCATGAAAATCTTAGCATGCTATATCAGAGAGTCGGTAGACTCTCTATATAGGGACGACACGGGTGAAATCTCACGTGATCCGCGTACAAAACGACTAAAATCTCGGTGAGAATCACTCCCTAGGCCTTCAAAACATACTAGCAATAGTCTACGGGCCCATATCTACCTATACATGTCCCCCAAGACCTCATACGCACCTTCAGTCGTCCACGCGAGAATTCGCTCATACGCGATTTCACGATTTTCGTGTCATCATCATATTCTTCATCTTCTTCTTCTTCTTCTTCTTCTTCAGACCCGCTAGCTCCTTACCGGAAGCACTTGAAGCGTTGATTTTTTCACAGAACGTCTCCGAATTTGCCGGAGGTGTGCATGCATATCAAGCGATCGTTTCTTTCTTGCCGCAAGTCACTACGGTAGATCGTTGAGCTCTTCCTCGGTAGTCACTGAACAACGCCATTTGTTGCTAACTCAGCATCAGTGAGCCGCATGCGCCGAGGAGGGCGTTTCCAATGCGGTGCGCGCGCATTTTGTCTCGTAAACCTGGTCCACGAACGAGACTAAGCCAGCACTGGATGCCTTCAGAGAAAACTACTCTCATCCTTCGGTGCCTTCTGTAAGTCAGTGTGCACATTTGTAAGTGGCTAGCTTGCGTTTTGCTGTTGATTTGCACGAGGAGCAACTTGGCAATCTGCGCCGTGTTACGCGTGCCTTGCCAGGCGCCTTCATTCTTTGTCCCCCAGCTATCATTGTAGTCTGATTTCTGAAGCCTGCCCAATTAAACCACCACCATATGTGCCACAACCTAATCGCGTCCTTGTTGGAGACACTGCTTCAGAGAGCAGTCCATTAGCTTCTGCTTTCAACAGTTATCTCTACAATATACCCATGAACATCAGAGTGACTGAAAATGCAGTGTTGTCATATAAGCTGTTAAAAATAGTGGAAACAAGTGGAAAAATCATTTCTTCAAAATGAAAGTAGGATATAGGGATGACTTGAAGCACCAAAAAGGAAGAAACAAGGGGTCATTACACACCAAATATGCACAAAGCCACATGACACCATCCCTATATCTTTGTTTTATTGTTCATAGGCAAAGTTTAATATGAGACAAAGATATAGGGATGGTGTCATGTGGCTTTGTGCATATTTGGTGTGTAATGACCCCTTGTTTCTTCCTTTTTGGTGCTTCAAGTCATCCCTATATCCTACTTTCATTTTGAAGAAATGATTTTTCCACTTGTAGCATTATTAAGGAACACTTCCCCAAATCCCCCAGTTTTTGTACACATTACTATTAACCAAAACCACCAATAGCAAAAAAAAAGTTATTGAACAATGCCCTGCTATTCAGGCAGAGGCTAAAGACTAGGCTAGAGGCTAAACTAAAAATGTTGAATTGGTGTTGGCATGCCTTATGTGGAAGATGTGCACACCATTGTTTTCATTCACTCCTTCTCCTCTCTAGGCCTGAACCTCTACCGCGACCCGACGGGAGACAAGATATTCAGTGAGATGCACCCCACACGACAGTCGCAGCGCTCACAGCTCAAAGATCACCAAAACAGCATGGCGGCCAGCATGGCTGAGTTGAAAGATGAAGAGAAGGTTGTCCTTCTCAACTCTCACCTGGCCAACCTCAATGAGACTCTGAAAGACAAGAGCAGGCGAATAGCAGAGCTCGAATCCATCCTCAAATCCTCTACTTAGCTGTAAAATAACTACCGAAGCTGCCGGCGTATATGGACCAATGCTGAGCCGATGCACTTTTCTATTGCTGCCAATGTTTCTCTTAGTGTTTTAGAGCATAATAGTAATTATATACACTCCTAAGATCCTAAGTTTATTAATGCTTGAAGCATCCACTAGCAACATGTGTGTCAATTATTCCATCCACCTCCTACATATTGTTATACAGACACTTTTATTGAAAACGAGATGAGCAATGTCAAAATGAAGTGGTCTTGATAATCCACAGACTCCTAGCACTTTCTGAGTCACGCATGTTGCCACCTATAGGTGTTTTGATTTGCATGAATTGTAATAACAACCCGCCCAGAGTAACACCCCAAGCCACTACCTCCAGCCCTTCAGTAACCAATGGGCATCACAACAGGTCTGAATCTGACGCGCATGCGCGTTTCGACGATCTGGTGAGAGGAATCATTCACCGCGCCCCCACTTTAGAACCAAGTACGTAGGGCCAAACGTCAGACTCCAAGCGTGAACTGGTGCCCCTTTCTGCTGCTGCGTGACGACGCTATGGAATGTGCACGTGAAGAGCCATCTGCATTGGAGTACTCGATCACGCTTTCCGCAATAACCCAATCTTTGATTTCAAGCGGAGCAATTCGCTCCGTTGCCTTCATGAAGGGCTCAAGTCATTACCGGACGGACTGAGAATCTTGGGCTATGGGACTGGTCCTTCTCTCCATCAAACCGTGATTACTGCGGCAAAGGCTTCGGAAATCGTTGTCTCGGGTTACTCTGCCGAAAATCGAGAAGCTCTTCGCCTCTGGTTGGATGCTGCTGACCCGGCAGCTTTCGACTGGGTCCCGTTTTTCCGGTCTGCAATACAGGATTTGGAGGGTGGAGGGGAGAAAGCGGTGTTTGAACGGGTGGAGAAAATCAGAAGTGTGGTGAAGGCCGTTGTGCACTGTGACCTCTCCCAAGACCCACCAGTCGAGAGAGGTTACGATGTTCAATACGACGTGATAAATAGCTGCTTCTGTTTGTGCGTCGCAGCAAAGTCCCTCGACGAGTATCAACAAGGAATAGTGAAACTTTCGAAATTGCTCAGGCCCGGCGGAGTTCTTATGATATTTGAATCCGAGCACCGAAATTGTCAGTTGCTGACTTACCCTATCAAAGAGCACAAGTGTCCTTATCTGGCCGTTACTAGTGAGTTTGTTTTGAAGAGTTTCAGAGATGCTGGATTTGTCGACGTTACCACACATTCAATGGAACTGGACCCAAGCCACCCTTCTAGGGTTCAGAACCCGGAACGTATTGGGTATTTTCACATTAGGTGTGTAAACTCTTAACTAGTCATTATTTTGGGTGTTGTGGTTATTGTCAACAAACCTCATTGCACAAACGTAATGTGAAACGGGCTTTGGGCTCTCCTTCAATGCCCCGAAAGTATCTCATTACCAGCTAAAGTTCTAAGAAGACCACTCTGTCTGTCACACTATCAGAGGGTACAGTGAGAGATGCATTAATTACATTTTTAAAGGTTGTGATTCTTGAGCAAAGTATGTGATTAAGTGCAACACAACTAGTGTTAGGTTACAACTACCACTGAAAACACCTCCATAGGGACCTTTGTGTCATCTTATAACATTATGGGTGATTCTTCACATGAACTGTTTCCTACGTATGTTACATTAACTACTTGGAACAAGAAAAGCAGTTGTGGCTGCACTGTAATGGGGTGCACGTATCTTTTTTGTACTGAGATGCCTCTCAACTAAGCCTGATAATACTCTGCTAATTGTAGGATAATAACCGGTGTGCGAAAAATAATTATTGATAAGGTATCGCAGCAAATAATCAAACACTATGCCATGAGTCATGGTTAGATGGCCGAAGCAACATACACTCCATAGCCGTCGGCGCTGTCAGTGTAACAAGCCACCACCTCTAGCCCCACTGCCGTCAGCTCCTGCGCAAACTCCTCTTTTGAGAACTTGCACGATATCCCCACGAGAATCTCGTCTCCTGCTGAGAACTTGAGCTCGTCCAGCCCCAGAGACGGGATGGACGCGGTCAGGTCCACCTGCGATACGAGCAGGGACTCTATCGCCGACTTGTCCGGGTTCCAGCGCATGCTCAGCCTGAAATCCTGCTTCCGAAAGTCGGAGCGGACCTCGCGGTTGAGGATGTCCAGTACGCGGAGCTTGAACCGCGCGTTGGCTCCGGCCTGGTCCGTGTAGCAGGACTCTATAACGCTCACGTCTTTCAAGAGGTCGATCCCGACCAGCAGAGAGTCTCCCTTGGTCATGACGGCTTTGATCTTCTTGACGAACTCCATGCACTCCGCCTTGGAAGTGTAGTTGCAGACCGTCGTGCCGAAGATTGCGAACAGTCGCCGTCCGTTCCGTCGGATACGGCCCAGGTCGTGGTCGTAATCTCCGACCTGCCCCCTGCACTTGGAGCCAATCGTAGTCCCTCGTGAGCGCCTCCCCTGCCTCGCGAATCACACCCTCAGAGCATATCTATTGGGGTGTAATCTCCTTCACGAGCCCGTGACTAGCATGGCCCTCTATTAGACCTCTCGTTTTCTTAGAAGAGCCCCGAGCCGAGCTCTATCAGCTCGTCGGGATTTGTTAGCCGCATTATGTTTTCCGCGACTGAGCACGAGGATCTCGTTTTCGCTACTGCGGGTATACTCGTGCTGCTCGATGATGCGTTCGAACAGCACGGAGCCCTCTTCGTCGTATCGGTACTAATGGACGGATCCAGCGCTGAGCGTCAGGCCGTAGCGGACGTCGTCTTCCATCCGCTGACGGAACTCGTGCGGCGTCGTCAGCTCGCACACTTGGATCTGCGGCGCGGTCAACGGCGATGGGCTATTATTGCCGTTGCTGAGCTTCTCCACGTTTTCTGAGCCGTTTCTTGCTGATCTCGGTTTGTAATTATCTCCATACTGGGATATGTTATAGACGTCTTATTCTGCCCGCCCGTTTCAAACGCTTTTTTATAACTGATCAGGCTGCAGCTTCTCGATCTCCGATCCGTCGCGAACCCACGCATGCGCAATAGACAACAAACAGGTCTCGTGACGAGAATCTTGCTGCGCCAGCACCTTCGCTTCTCCGTCTTGCATGAACCGGCCTGATCGTCGTCTGCTTCTTACTGAGCAGAGATCTAGAGAACTAGACGTAAGACAGCAGACTCAATACCTACAGAGTCCACTTACCTGTGACGTTCTCCAGTGCGACATTTGTCTTGATGTAAGTGTCTTACTGGCATTGATGGGCGCAGGGTTCCTATCTAGCTAGCGGTGGGGATGTGTAGCGTATACTTGTACACTGTAGCTACTCGCGATAGTGTGTGAGTGGTGACAATACCTACTATCATCTCTCTCTCTGGGGCAATAGTTATAGACGACCTCGTATGAATGCCGCCTCTGAATGCGCGCGCCACACCAGGATAGGATCAGATGTGGGGCAAAAATACAGTTCATCTTTGTGTGTGTCATTGATTTCCACTACGCTGTAGTCCGATGACGACGCAGGGGAGCTAGGAACATGACAAAGACTTATTATAAATGACGCCACCCAGGGGTGGTACGATTGAAGCGATGATTCAGATGTAGTTGCGCATAGAAGTTATTTACCGTACTATAGTTTGCATTAATCATGGCAGTAAAACTTATAGCACTGTCTGCTGGACAATTTTGAGGGTGCCTCAAGGCATGAAGTGTGCGAAACTTTTTTCTCTTTTTACGTATGCATAGAGTAGTTGTTACTATCGTTTTGTTAAACAAAAAATCTAACTAGTGTCGGTTTCCGCTTGCCCGGCTGTACATGTTAACATGTGTCAACAATGATCCCCAAAGGCAAACGGTAAACAACAAACACGATGTCATGTGATGCCTATTGTGTCTCTTGTAGTTGCTACGTACGTATGCACATAATATAGTGTGCGGAATGTTGAGAAGTTGCTGCAGATTCTGGGCAAGTGCTTCACATTTATAGCAGCTACAGCTTTGAACAAGGGGCCAACGTTTGGTCCCTTGTAGAGAGGTTGTCCCTATCTCGGAGGTCACTAACGTATGAGCATGGGGTGAAAACAAGTGTCCCTTGTAGAGAGGTCATCCCTATCTCTGAGGTCCAAATAATACACTAAAGTGGGGTTGAAACAAGTATCTATTGTAGAGAGGTCGTCCCTATCTCAGAGAGTCCCTTATCGGAGGTCCCACTGAGTACTATTCTAAGCCAAGTTTGCGTATTGTAATAGACATGAGGCTGACTGGCCCTTGCCCCCTATCTTGTCTTCTTTCACAGTGTTGGTTGCTTATAGCGGTGCCTAATCCCCAATCTCACCTACTACAGTGTGAGTAAGAAAGAAAACGGTTCCAAAATCGTTCAATTCATTCAGCAAAAATGCTACCATAACGCACGAAACGAACGGTGATTACCGTTCTCTGGAAAGGAACTGCACGATAATGCAGGCTACAATAATGCCCCGTGTCTCTATTATGCATAACACTAGGATATCTAGTATCTACAGTGTGTTCAATGAGTTCAGTTGCAGGACTGTTGTTGTACAGAGTGTGAACCGTGGAGATGGAGAGCACACCTCTTATGAAAGATGAGGTATGTGTATATACATATGTACTACATGCAGTTATTCAATATAATTGTACATTATGTCACTGGCAGAACAACAACTTAACCGAACCCCCGTCTTTTTATTTCTCTCCTTACCACCTCCTCTCTCTTTTTCATTCTCTCTTCTTTTCCTCAACCTAACCTTCACCTCTTTTTCCTCTCTCTCACTCCCTCCCTCCCTCTCTCCCTCCCTTTCTCCCCTCCCCTCTGGCAGCAACCTCCCCCACCAACCCAGCCTACCCGCCACAGGCTCCTCCAGGCTACCAGCAAGCTCCTTATGCTCCTCCTCAGCATGTCAGTTGTACAGTTAAACCCACGAAAATAAACACAGCACACCTCTCTATAAGGGAGACTTGGTTCTGCCCCCATTTAGCTACTACCTCCGAATACAGGATATCTCCACAAGTGTCCCTTATTCTGAGGTTTTACCATTAGTACAATATATATACTTCTTTCTCACATACATTTCAGTCACTGTTCTCAGGTATATACCATTTTCTCTCGGGAGGCTTTAGAATGGGTCTATGTACTTGTGTATGTACATATGTGTTGTGTTGTGTTGTAGATTCGAACCCCTACCAGCCGAGTTGCCCTGGTAGCTCAGTTGGTAGAGCGCTCGCCTAGACTGCAGAGTGTCGTGGGTTCGAATCCCACCCAGGGCAACTCTTCTTCTTTTCTTTGAAAAGAAAGAGCTGTCCCGGGTGCAGTTGACTTGTTTGCCTTGCCTTGCCTTTCTACCTCACTACCAAGTTGTGGAGACATGTATGCATACTGAGGCATATCGTATGCAACGGCATGCTTTGACCATAATGTGATTTGTAGTGTTCGTAGCACCTGTTTGTGCTGTACATGTTTTTCTAATGAGTTGCTGATTGGATTTTAATCCGGTATTCCCTCCTTATTTCAGTTATTCGATGTGTAGAATAGCGTGCGTTGTTTGTGACTCCGTGCCAACTGCGTCCCAAGTGGACGATAATGCAATAACCATCGTGTTCTACCGGGAACTACGTGACTGGTTTTTGTGTGTGGCACTGGCAGCTACAGCTAGTCTATTAGTCACTAATTTCCGTGTTATGTAAGTCTCATACTGCTGGCACAGATATAGATTTCTTCACCGCGTTACCCCAGATTATTTAATCCGCTCATCTCGCTCCCCGTCTCACGGACTGAAAGAATGACAAAGAGTCAGAAGTTAATAAAAATTCGAACCAACCATCTCTAAAGCGAGTGTACCCTACCACTGACGTGGTGTGAGGGATGGCTGGTATTAGTACAGCTAGACCTATTAACTGCTGGTAGAGTGGAAGTGTTAACGGCATGAAGTGTGAGCCCCATCTTGTGGTTGTAGTATTATTCCAAAGAATTGCATGACTACCCTTTGCCAGTGGAAGCTGCAGCTTTACCCTTTTAAATGCTTGCTAATTGCATGTGAATTGGAATATGACGGCCCAGGGCCCTCCTGTCGTCCTCTATCCTGTGACACCGTTTTAACCGGTGACTCTGTGACTCAGTGACGTGTGTGTGTGTGTGTCATTGGGTGTAGCGGAGCTTTTATCTAATCTACTGTATGTATGCTGTGTGTGTGTGTGTGTGTGTGTGTGTGGTGTGTGGTGTGTGTGTGTTGCTGTTGTGTGTGTGGTGTGTGTGTGTGTCGTGTGTGTGCGTGTGTGTGTGTGTATGTGTACTCTACTCACCTCTTTACTTTCTACAGCTTACTTTCTCTTCTTTAACCCTTTAGTATTCCTTCTTTCTTCTATTTATGTCTTCTTCCTAACCTCCTTCCCCACATCCTTTGGTCATCTCTCCCTTCGTCGCCTCCGTGTTCTAAAAACATTGTTTCTCTCCCTCCCTCCCTCCCTCCCTCCCTACATCCATTTATTCATCTTTGTTTGTCTCTTTCTCGATCCTCTCTCCCCCCCTCTCCCACTAGCCTCCACCCTATCCACCAGAGCAAGCTGGCTACCCACCCCAACAAGCTGGCTACCCACCCCAACAAGCTGGCTATCCTCCGCAGCCACCAATCGCAACCAGCAGGCACCACCACAGGCTCCTGCCACACACACAACTGTCATCACACAGCCCGTGAGTATTATTACGTATACACTTCATTCATAGAGGTTTAGGATGGTACTGATTGACAATGGACAAACCAAGTGCGCGACTGACTAATACGTACTTGAGGATTTCAACACATGGTTTAGCGAGCGAGCGCGAGCAGTTGAATATTTCGCGCGTGCATGTTTTACGCGTATTTAGAATAACGTACATAGTGACGGCGCCCGATCGACAAACAATATTCCCACGTTGAAACTACTACACGAAGTTTCACATTACAAATACATTTCCTCTGAATCAGCCAATTATACTGCAATGTGGTGTAATTACGTCACTTAGAAATTCAGCATTTTTGTTTGTAATTGCAGTTGGATAAAATTCAGGCAAGGCACAATATAAATTTAGCTTCTCGTGTATTGTCAAGCATTAGGTACGAATTAATTTTGAGCAACAGTATACATTTTGTGGGAAATAGACCGTAGGTGTTTGCTGAACCGAAATTCGCTGGCATTTCAACTGGTAACAGATGTAATTATGTACTTTTGGTTATGATACTCTTTTGCTGTACTGATAATAATCCCAGGAATTTCTTCTGGTAACAGATATGTATACAATAATTATGCATGTAAGGTGTGGAACTATTACATGTTTGTTACGATACTTATTAACAAGTAGGCAGGATACTGAGAAGCTGTCCCTTTCTCCCTTTCTTGGCTCTACTTTGGTACATGTGGCCCCTACAATGATAATATCAATTTTCCTTCGTCCTCTTTCCTTCCGTCGCTCATGCCCTGAACACGAAATGCTACTCTAGCGGAGCAATTACTCTGTTTTATTGCTCTTGTTAACAATTTGGGCATACTCGCATGTACGTAGCTAATCTGCTGTCCTGTGTTGCATGTGGGAGTTGGATCGGTTACTAATACTCCAGTGGCTGCCGTAGCACTTTGGCCATCGACCTCGCACAGCCGGAGAGCAAAGGGTTGAAACATGCACCTTTATACTGGTGTCTGTCTCACCTCCCAGAGAAAAAAGCCTTACTCACCCCTTCCACCAGTGAGACAGCCTGGAGTTAATACACCAGACGTAATAATAATACGAGATTGGGACTGTTGAATGCTGGGATTATCGCCGTAAAACCTAAATAATAGTTAGACGCTGATTCGAGGTAACTACGCGCAGTAGAAAGCCGAGATCCCCGGCATTGTGGCGCCCCGAGCGCAGCGAGGGCGCTACCCCCGGGGCACGAGGCTTTCTACCGGCACGTGGTTACCGAGCAATCAGCGTCTAACTATTTTAGAGTGAGCGCTTCACGTTGAGCGCTCTGGCTTTCCTGTTCGTTCGTATGGCGAGAGCGCGTCTAACGATGACTCGATGGAGACAGGCCAGAGGCCAGAAAAGCAGTGCAGGAAGAGCGAAGCGCAGAGACACGCGGCATAGCGACTCCGCCTTCTTTTTCTGGTTGGCGCAGGGATGTCTGCGCGTGCGCGTGGACGACGCGTCAATGTAGATTCATTGTTAATCTTGTTGTTTACATGTACATTTTGTTTATGTTTTCCTGTTTTATCTGTAGGTTTTGTAGTTTCTGTAGGTTTACTATATAGTAACCCCGTCGAGGTTTACTACGGGAAATAACCTCGGCTTTGCAATCTGATTGGTCAATTCGAACCTAGCTCACTCTAACATTTCTAGCTCCAACTGCCCTAAGGTCAAGCAGAGAACCAAGTTTTTCCTCCCACAACAGGATGCCTGCTGAGACTATCAAGCGGAGTAAATAAAGAGAGTAGTATGATCGAGCATTGCGATCCAATACTGCTTGCTTTATATCCACAATCCAGCAGCTATATGTTATAACATACATGTAACTGCTGATTGTGGATTGTAATCCGTATTGCATTATATATCGATATCTCAGAAAACTGATAATATAGATGTAGCACTAATAGACAAAACAACAAAGTGCCCTTTATATAAGGAGGTGTCCCGTATTCGAATAATTCTTTTTCAGAAGTTTCAATTTCGATATTTAACGTGTGTGTTGAAACTGGTTTATTATTGTTGTACGCACCTCATTAGTAAGGCTCGATAAGCAGACACATAGTGTGTGGCGTAACCCTTTGGACCCATGAGTATCTCCTCAAATAAGCCGAAAATTATGTATACGTATTAACGCCTGGTATTAGAACATCCATGTATATTTTTTATGGACTTATGGTGGCTTTGGCACATCTATGTGTCTTGGTGCTGGTTAATTATTGTATAAACCTGACTGATTTTGCTACTTGAACTGTGTGTGTGTATGTGCAATATTATAGGTGGTGAGCCATGCAGAGTCTTAGGTTCACAGAGAACCCCGTTCAGTTGAGGTGTAACACGTGTGGACAGGACGTGGTCACACGCACCATGTACACCCCGGGACTCAGGACCTGCTCATCGTCGGGCTCCTCTTCATCCTCGGATATGCCGTGAGTCGAGAGTGGAGGGTACTGGTCTTGCTATGGATGTACTAACTGCAAACTGCCTTACAACATAGACCTGTACTCCGTACCAAGATTGATATGTTGTTGCACCTACATTTGTTCGTCCTGCTTTTCTTTCTCTTCCTCACTCTTTCCCTCTATCTCCTCTCCCCTCTCTCCTTTGGTCTTTTCTATATATTATGTTGCCTCCTCCTCCCTCTTTTCTCTCTTCCTCTGCCATCTCGCTCCTCTCTACATACATCTACCCTCCTCTCTCCTCTACCATCCGCCCTCTCCCTGCCCTCATCCCATTCCTCAGTTGTTGTCTCATTCCATTGTGTGTGCGACGGACTAAAGGATGTTGACCACGTGTGTCCCAACTGTGGCACGAAGCAAGGCTCTTACAAAGAGGCCTCAGCTGAAGACATATTGACTCTCACTTCAACTGACTCCCTGATTATAGTATCGTAATCGTGATCATTCGCGTCTGCACTCGTTCACTGCACGACGGACAAATCACTGTACAAATCACTGTACAAGCGCATGCGCATTCATTCCGCGTTTGGTAACCGTATATAATATACCGGTCCGCGATCTTGTGGAAGGGGCGGCTATCCCTTAACGCATGCGCACAATTGTGGCGTGGTGGACTGTACCGTGTGTGTGTGTTCGTCCTCTTTTCCCCCCATTCAACCAGTTGCTGCAACTTGTAGCGTACAAGGAGGTAGTATAGGAAAGCGTGTGCTCTATATATAGTATGTCGCTAGCGCTACAATGTAAAGCTTCGCATGTAAGGGTCTCGGGCGACAATCACTTGCCCAGCGAGCGCCGGTACCTTTGCACCACCACCTATTTGCAAGAAAAGAGGCATATTTGAGTATATACAGATACCAAGAGGTCCTGCTATACGTTTCACTGTGCTCTAGCACTAGGATGTGTTTTCCTGTTTACACTTTCAGGGCCAAAACTGAGTGTGGTAACAATACACGTGATTTCCTTATGCTTGGACAGTTGCCTTGTTCATTGGTGTTAGACCAATTATTATATAGTGTAGCTCAGTGCTCAATGGTGGGTCTGGGGCATTATATGTTATATATTACATCCTAATGCATACTGCCTGATATCCATAAGTAGCTCTTGCTCTTTCTTAACTATTATGTAAACCACTTACTATCTCCATATAAGTAACATCTTGCCCTAGCACTTAAACAGGTATATAGCTTCATGACGGCCAGCTCTACATGATTTGATTTAGTGCAGAAGTCAGAATGGAACCACCAGATAGCATTACATCGAGACAGAGTCATGGGTCTGAAGTGGAGTAATCTCATCAGAGACTCGTGTGATTTCATTGTTGTCTGAAATATTCGTTTTACATTGAGTGCTACACCAGTTTTTAAACTGCATACATAATACAACTGTTATATAATAATTATTAGCTTCCAGTGAAGTTAAATATACAGAAACTACCCTCCACTCCACTCCACATTGTAGGTATATAGCTGCACTCGTGTGTTCAGTTCAAAACGTGAAATGTCTTCTGCAAGACGTACTGCAAACTGTGATATTTCATACACGACATTTATGTCATGTACTCTATCTTTAGATGACTCACGTACTGAAAAACTCTCCTCATTCAGTAAGTTATGAAGTGTTAATAATTTAGTACCTAGGTCACTTTGATTATTGTGGGGGAAATCTATTTGTGCCTTAATCCAGTATGGAGCAGTGACCCTTGAGACGAGAGCAGCACAACAATTATCACAGTCAGTTTCACCGAGGATAGAGTACATTACTATTCCATAGTCCAATGATAGTCGAAGTAGAACATATAGTTGGCTTGTCTCTTCTTGCACAAATGTTTCCACAAAAAATGCAAAAATTGTTGATACCTTTATTAAGTTGGAGGGTGGATTGGCAAAGCAATAGAGGTGAGGTT